AATCTGGAGAGAGATCAGCGTTTTATAAACTGATCAATTCGAGACTCAAAGGTAGAAGAGAGCTGGGGGTTTTGCAGAGCGATAATGGGGAAGTTCTATGCAATGATGGAGATAAAGCGGAATATTTTGCAGACTTTTTCGCTAAAACATTTGTTGAAGAGAACGATGAAAGTGAAATTTTAAGTGCTCCAAGTTACCAAAGTATGACTGATGGAGTATGGTTCAGGAATGAAGACATCTATCAAATACTGATGAAGTGGCCTAAGTCAACTTCAATCACACCTGATTTCGTAATTTACGTTTTATCAAATCAATAGCAGATATACTGAGTGGGCTGCTTCAATACATTTTTAATTTGAGCATGATGCGTGCAGAAATTCCGGATCGCTGGCATGTGTCTTTTGTCAGACCTATTCCTAAGAAAAAGCCTCTTACTAATCCAGAAAACTATCGACCAGTTAGCATAACGTCTATTTTCGCTAGACTATTTGAGAAAATATTGAAAAGGCATATTGTAAAGCATTTAGAGACTTATAAGGTAATAGCAAGTGAGCAACACGGGTTTCAAAGCGGTAAATCTACTGTTACCGCTATGCTACAAGCTGTCAATGGTTGGACAATACAATTAGATAGAGGTCAGAGTATTGACGTGATTTATTTAGATTTTACAAAAGCATTTGACAAAGTCCCTCACAGTAAGTTGATTTCCAAACTTATAGCCGTAGGAATACATCCACGGATTGTAGCTTGGATTGAAGCTTTCTTGAGTGAGAAGACATTCATGGTCCATGTCAATCGCACGTTTTCTTCCCCTAGAAGTATGCAGTGTGGGGTTCCACAGGGGGGGGGGTGTTCTTTCGCCTATTCTCTTCAACATCTTCACTCATGAGCTTTTGCGCATACCATTATCTAAAGGAGTTTCTTGCAGCGCATTCGCGGATGATGTCAAGCTCTACAATGTTGTAAATGATGACGTTGGACGTAAACATTTACAAGATGCATTGGATGAGGTGCTTGATTGGTCACTAGTATGGGGTCTAACTATTTCAAAAGAAAAAACAAAAATACTGCACTTAGGTTCCAGTAATATAAGACACCCCTACAGTTTAGGAGGTAGCCCACTTGCAGCTGTTGACCCAATTAGAGACTTGGGGTTTCTGGTCACAAGTAGTTTTTCGTTTGATGAGCATTGTAAAGTAATTGCGGACAAGGCTACGGTGGCAATTTATAATTTGTACAGAGGATTGTCATGTACAGATCCTAAAATTCTTTTGAAGGCTTACAAGACCTTTATTAGGCCAATGTTGGAATATGGTACCGTCATTTATAGTCCACATCCCAAAAGGCAATCAACTACTTGGAGGAAGTACAAAATAGTTTCACAAGAAAGTTACTGATTAGGACGATTGGTTTCAATTATGATCAAATACCATGCAGTCAAGTCCGTAATGCAAATCTTGGGCTCTCAAGTCTTGCTTATAGAAGAAAGAAATTCGATCTTATCACGGTGCACAAAATAATATTTGGAACATACAAGCTTGATTTGAGTAATTTTTTTGTGACTAGATCCTCGAATACTAGAGGTGGACTTAGAAGGCTTGTGTTATCAAAGGCTAGGCGAAATGTCAGAAGACACTTTTTCACGTGCCGAGTGGCACATGATGTAGATAAACTTTCGAGAAAGAGAATGTTCGTGGCTAAACTCGCAATGTTCAAAAAAGTTTTGAGAGGCTACCTGAAAACACACTAACACCTTTTTTTGTTCAGGCGCTGTGGTGTTGACTGTTTTGTTTGTTTTTTTTGTTGTTGTTTGTTTGTTTTCTTTTTCATAGGGGCATCCCTATGCACAAATAAATAAATAAATAATCAGTTTTTGCCTATCAAATTTTTTCCGCCCTGATTAATAGAAGAAGTTCCAACTCAGTCTGAAGACGCATGTGTTTTGAACACCGAAGAGTAGCATAGGCTACCTTTCGCGGCAATTTGCTGCGCGTTTCTATCGTTTTTATTAAGATTCGGTTTCAGAGGAAAATGTCTTATTGGCAACTTTAATCCAATATCACCAGATAGATAAAAGAGGGGTATAGCACATATGGCCGCTTCTATAGATTTATTGATTTTTTGCAGTTTTTGCCCAAAATATTTTTTGCCGGCCTAAAATGTCTGAGAAGGTTATGAGGCTGAACCGAACTTCGCAAACATGAACTTCGTGGCGTGTCAGGTGTCACTAAGCTTATACCAAAAATAATCTATTGTCGCTTTGATTCACTGACTACCGGCGTTTTTTGCTTAGCCATTTGTTATGACTGACCCAGAATGCTAGAAAAAATATGAGATCTGAATCAAACTTCGCATGCATAAACTTCTAAACGGGTATTTTGTTAGTAAGCTATTTCCACTAATATAGGATAAATCGATTTATTAATTTTTCTTACTTTACGCTCTTGGTTGGCGGCAAGGAAAGGATAGGTAGGCATGGTTATTACGAATACAATATCTACTGCTTCAGTTATTGGCTCTCTCTATCTATTCATTATTTTTTTTCATCTGACATTCTCGACAACAGAGTGATATATGACTACGCATCAATCCTTTTCTCAACGAGATTCATCGATCAGCTAAGTTTATCGGTAACAGAAATTCCACTCACCCAAGGACAAGCATGACCACCAACCATATCAATCCAGTGATAGTCAACACCCTTATATTCCCTTCCCCATCTTTCCTTCATACCATTATGCCTTTCTCACGTCTTACTTCCTTTGAGTGACTTCTTTCGAATGCTTCCACTTATAAAACCGTGATACCTCAGTCACCTTACATGGGACATGGGACACATGTAAGTTGAATGAACATGAAAAAGTGAACATGTCTGTGACATGGACACAGACCTTACACATGTCATGGGACACATTCAGCCTTTCTGTGTTGTTGACTGTGCATTGTCTGTTGCTTGGAATATTAACACAAATGTTATTGAGAGGCCAAAGTGCGTCCTCGATCATCCTCTACATAGGTGTTAAGCCGAAGTGTTTCGTGCAAACTAACAAGTTCACTAGCAAATTCTCACGTTTGCACAATACAGAGCGCGAAAGATATACAGGGAAGCGAAGCTGCCGAGTACCAGCTGAACCTACCGCGTAGCGGCAGGAAGCGACTGGTAATCATAATTTTTCGTATTGTCTTCCTTTTGTTCTGAATTTTCTTGTATTGTCTGTCTGTGTGTACGTATGTTCCGAATAAAAGTTTTTATTTTTACTGAATCAGACCAAACTTGGCACGCCTAATATACTTCGGAGCGGGGTGGGTGTTATAGGCTGCTTTTCGTCATTGGTCGATATCAATTTATCGATTTTTATGCGAAGTTTCACCTACGAAGCTGGGAGTTGGTACAGGGGTAAATGAGCATGCGTTCACGAAAATATTATTGACAGGGCCTGGCGGAGCCGAATTTTTCAGCTAGTTATCAATAAGCTATTGAATGTCTGCAATGCTGATCGAGGTATAGTTGATTCGATATAGTTGACCGCACGGACTGGACATCATTTCGGAGCACGCGCCGCGAGGTAGCTTGTGCCATTACAAATCCGCCATTGTACAAGTCGTGCTCTCGCGACAATTCAGCAGCGCCGCGCGTGGTCCGCAGCGTTTGAGCAGTCCGTGCGGTCAACGAATCAACGATACGTTTTGTAGCAGAGGTCACGTTCAGGGTCAAGCAAGGGGTGTGGCACATGATCGCTGGTTACGACCCCCCCCCCTTATGCTGTCTCAATAAGACCCCCTGAACTATATACCCAAGATAGCATTACTTGAAGGCCCTGTCAAATATAACGGGTAACATATCCATAATAAGCTTGTCAATTAACCCCTGTAGACAATGTTTGAGCAAATTCTGAAGTTTCAAGATACCAGGTCACCTAAGTGAGTGAAATCGCCATTTTTCAGCATGACTAACTTTGTTCCAAAGGTGAAGTAGGTGGCTGTTTTTGCACTCAAGACAAAGCGCTACTCCTTTTTTGCCACTTCAAAAATTTCGCTTCAAAAGACCTCCTAACTTTGGAATTAGAAGCCAACCAAAATCTTGTTTTTTTCTATTTTTCGCTTTTAATGCCTGTGCTTTCACCATATATTACTCAGAGCTAAGAAGACGAATTAAGCTCAAACTATTCTTATGAAATCTACGAGCTATCGACTCATATAAATGACGTTCGCTAAAAATGTTTTTTTGATATAGTTAAAGGCAGTGTCCAAGCAAAAAGTCGATTTCGAAATTATGTGCTTACCTGGGCCTATTCGCTATGCTGAATCCGAAAATCACCACTGGAGAGCGCGAAAACGGCGAAAAAAGGCTCTAACGGAGGAGGGAAATTGCAGGTGGGCGGGGCTGTTCACATAGTGGCGTCACTTTCCCAGCTTCAGGAGCGATCTTCTCGCTTCCGCTAACCGCACTAACATCACCACCACCCAATTGCGAAACGTATGACATAAAATCGGAACCGAGAAGATCGCTCCTAAAACCTGGGAGAGTGGCGTCACGGTGTGAACGGCCGCGCCCACCTGTGATTTCCCTCTTGCGTTTGGGCCTTTTTTCGGCGTTTTCACGCTCTCCATTGTGGTTTATCGGATTCAGAATGGCAAATAGGCCCGGGTAAGCACAAAATCTCAAAATCGACTTTTTGCTTGGACACTGCCTTTAAGTGTCACCCTAAAAAGCTGTGGCTGCCACAGCTTTTCAGGTGTGGTGCCACATCCCATTAACTTACCTTCAAATAGATCAAAGAGCTGCGTTTTTTATATCGTTGTTACTTTGTAACCTTCTTCTTTACACAGCAGAAATCTCATATGAAACGTTTCTTCAAGAGCAAGATATAATCGTTTTTTCTTACCCATACAAATGTAAAATACTGGTAAAATACTGCGAAAATATTGGGATACGGTAACGACTTTGGGATACGGTAATCTCATGCTAAGTCTTCGCTACTACGTGAATCGCAAAGGAAGGCGACAAGAATGTATATATTCGATAGCCTGAGCCTCGTAATCTGCATTTTAGTGATCAGAGCTCGATTGGTCTTCTCCAGTCTGATATATTGAAAACGAAAAATGGAACAAACGACATCTTGGCTTGCTCTTGATTCCTTAATTTGGAGGTCATTTGAAGTAGGATTCCTAAAGTGTGCAAAGAGATAGTTCTTTGTATTAAGCGCAAAAAGAAGTACCCTAATTCACGCGTATAAGGCGCGGGGGATTTTTTTTCAAAATCCAGCCCTAACACGCCAAGGGGCTTTACAATGAAAAGGCCCGCCCTATAACGTGCTGTATATTGCTTAATGGAATCGTGCGGTATAAAGACCTTTTTCCGGAATACAGTGAAGCGGCTGAGCGGCTGGCTTGAAAAATCGAAAAAGTGCGCCTAATACGCGTGAAATTAGGGTAGTTAACTTACCTTTGAAACAAAGTAACATGTTCGAAAACGACCACCTCGCTTAGATGGCTCTGTATTTAAAAACCCCAGAATTCGCTGAAACTTGGACCAGGGTTACTTTACTTGCTGAATACAAAACGATGCTTTTATGCTTTATAGATCTTTAATTATGCTCTGTACGTATACGATAATGGGTCAAACATCAATGTGCTAGTATTTTGCATGACGGGCCTATTCGAAATTGGACGAATATCACATGTTATGCGAGTAGCGGACGCCTTGATAACGACCCCTCCTTGTTTCCTCAGTACGACTTCCCAGGTGTGGCATGCCACACCCCACGCTTGACCCTGCAGAGAGGTACTGATAAACAAGATCCAGTAAATTATTATTGCATGATCCTGGTGCAATGTTACATCGGCATGGTGAATCATATCCTGACACTCCAAAACATCATTTGTTCTTATCAGCAACATGTTTAGCACTGCTGGGTTAATAATCGGTACAACTTTGGAAGGTTATCGTTGACCTCAAAGGAAGAAAAATGGCTTTAAAGAAAAGACGGTCGGCAGCTAGGGATCATCAGAGGATCATACAAAAAGCTGGAAAATGCGGCTTGTACAGCTTCTTGCTCCCGTTCAAAATGTTCATAGTAAGGAATGATGGGAATACTTACGAATAGGCAAACAGCGTGAAATCCACGTATCTGGAGCTTCAAAATATGAAGCTTTCCAAGTTCGGCTGTTTCTGAATCTTGGCGTGGCAAATATTCATTTGTAATACTGTTTCAGCGAGACCAAGATTTACATCAATTCTTTATTGGCTAACGTTTCTGCGATTTCGCCTTCGTCATAGCCTGTAAAGTCTGAAGAATAAACTAACAAGGAGGAGTTCCCAAGTCAGCTCGGCCAACTCGGCTGAGTCATATATCAACGTAACGGGCTTGAAACGCTAATTCCAAATCTGCTTTCCTTTTCTGCGAAACAACTCTTCGAAAGAAGTTATGGGCGTTTGAATGTTCAAATTTGCCGAGTCTTGAGTGACATAAAATTGGCGAAAGCTGTACATTAATACGTGAAAGTTGGTTATCAGTTTTGTAACAAATATACTGACTATGAAGACGGAATACAGCGAGTGGAAGTCGCTAAGTATTGCTTTAGAGCTTTTAGCTAATTTTAAGCCACTTCAAACATGACAAATTTGGATTTTCAATAGCTCGTAAAAGGCATTCGAAAAATCGTGACGATGGCGCGACCACGCGCAACACGCACGCATTCCCATTTTTTGGTTTGTATCTCTACTCAAGTAGTTTTTCTGCTTACATATGATAGTATTAGACACTTGAAGTGACTGAGCTGAGCGTTGAGGTGTTGCCTGTTTGTATGAGTGTTTTATGCTTATGTGTGCGCAAAGTCCGCAGTCAACTCGTCGTCACGATTTTAAAAGTGAACCATAACTTCTTTCGGAGAGTTGTTCCGCAGAAAAGAAAAGCAGATTTGGAATCAGCGTTTCAAACCGGTTACGGTGATATTTGACACATACGCGTTGGTCGAGCTGACTTGGGAACTCTTCTTTGTAAGTAATTAGTAATAATAAAAATTAGCAATTATAATAATAATAATTATAATTACTAATGATAATTATAATTACTAATTATTATGAAGCTTTCGCTCAAAGGCAGCATCCAGGCAAGTCTGGGCACATGGGGATCTCACGTGAATAGTAATTTTGGGGCACTAACTAACAATAAGCCACTGCCCAACCGGCAGCTCAGGTAGTGTTCTAACGGCTGAGATATTCCCTTCGAAAGTGGACCCCGCGATCGTATTTCGCATGGATTCATGGCGCAAAGCGTGTGTCCTGGCGCGAAACTACCATGAATCCATGCGAATACGATCGCGGGGTCCAGTTCCAAGGGGGACTCAGCCGTTAGAGCACTACCTAAGCTGCCGGTTGGGCAGTGGCTTAGTTAGGGCCCCAAAATTACTATCCACGAGATCTCCATGTGTCCAGACTTGTCTGGACGCTGCCTTTAAGCTGCGATCCAATCCCTGGCGGCGATCCAGTCCCATGTTAATGCATGCGGCCCTAAGCTGGTAGCGATTCAGGGTAGTCGCTTTTGCGGTAACATCTGTAGAAAGCAATGTTGCGCGTTTGGATTTGGAAACGTTTGATTGTAAAATGCGTGGTTATAAGAGAACAACATGTAGAGCTAGAGCTGACAAATAACTCTGCATTGAAGATTTTGTTGCAAATGTATGCTGAAGCTTGCACCTTATATTGATCAGCAAGACCTGTCCGCGACATATTTCAAATTTCATATGAATTTAATGCTTCAGATCATCAACTAGTAAATCGAATTAGAAATTTATAACAGGGTAAAATTTCTTGTATAACTATGTTAAATGCCATGGATGCGGTGCAGGAAGAACCAAAGGCCTGCCGCCTGTACCCACAGGAGGTAATTAAAAGCGCGAGCGCTGTGGAGAAGATTTTGGCAAAGATCCAGAAAAACTTGGCAAGGATACCCTTTGGAAACGAACTCTTGTAACTCTTCTTGGGCATAACTTTGTAAAGTACTCTGCGTTGATACCACTGCTTTCATTTTTCAGTACACGCCTATACGGTAAATAAACAACTCTATCTTGCTATTCTACCTCAATTTCTACAAAAAAATTATTGAAGATGAACTGAAAGCGTTCAGAATCTCTGCATAGTGAGGAATTTGAGTTTCGGTGATGGAAAGTTCTGACTAAACTTTTAGTGAGAATTTTTAGGGCTGATGGAATTGGAAAGTGGCAGTGGCGTACCCAGGATTTCGGCTCGGGGGGGGGGGGGGCGCGGCAAAAAAAATTTTCAAGTGAAGGTGCGTGGCGTTAGCCACGCACTCCGAAAAAATTTTAGGGGGGCTTCTCAACAATTTTGCGGGCCCCAAAACCCATAAAATCTGGAAAAGGGGGCGTGGCGTCAGCCACGCCCCCGAAAAATTTTTTTTTATAAGGCTAATTTGAATTTTTAAAAAATTTTAAAAATTATTTTAATTGTTTACAAAAATAAACAAGTCATTTGCACATTTTTATAACGCATGTAAGTAATTTTCAAAAAATTTCGCGACCCGTTCTCGGGGGGGGGGGGGGGGGGGCGCGCGCCCCCCCCCGCCCCCCCCCCCCCTCGGTACCGCCACTGGAAAGTGGTGATAATCGGAGGTTGACTCTCGAATCGTGACAAACTTTTCTTTTGTATACAATCTTGAAATTTTCAACTACACATTTATTATCCAAGCATGTGGAAACTCACAAAAGTCTCAATGGTGCTAGAGTGAGTTCAAAGTTATGAGATAATCTGCATCTGGCATCTTCATGGAAACCTCCAGATTTAATTTCTGTTACATTTTGATTACAATCTGACTTGAAAGGCGAACTAAACTATTCTTTTTTCTCTAACTAGAAGGAAAAAAAGAATAATTTTGAATGAAAACCCTATTCCCAATATTTGAAACTTCAAATCTCATCAGACGTTTCCACAAGAAATTTAATTTTTCCGACTACTACATAAAATTTTGAATTATTATAATTCTGCCTCAATGAATGCGCCTTCCAAATTCTATTGCAAATCAATCTGTTTTTCAAAATTTTAAAAGTTATATCCAAGCAGAGTTACAAGAGCTTGTTTTTAAAGGGTATCTTGCCATGTTTTCATGGATATTTGCCAAAATCTTCTCCACAGCGTTCGCGCCTCGCGCTCTTGATTATCTCCTGCGGATACAGGCGGCAACCCTTTGGTTCCCGCTGCACCACCCCCAAATGTCATAAGGAGCCTGAAAGTATGAATACACTGAATGTACCGATTGGCTTCGAATTCCCGATTGCAGAGCCTCATTGAAGCCTCACACAGTCGACAAAAGCGCTTAATTCTACTAATGATAACTAGTTCTCAAGTTCTTTTGTAATGTTTTTCATATGGTCCCTACGATTTAGCAGTACGGACTTGCCTTACTATTAGGTTGTCCGGAAATTAATGTCCGTTTTGAATTTCAACCGCAATAAGTCATACATTTCTCATTCCTGAATAGGCTTTAAAATACCATTCGATAGAGCAAAGCAAGCTCTACAAGATGGCAGTCTTGCTTTAGCAACAGCTCTAATCCACCTCGAGTTTCGAGCCAAAAACTAAAAAGATTAAACTGCCCGAAAAATTGAGAAAAATCGTAACTTAGTTCATAAAAAACCTACAAAAATTCTAACTTGCTCACGTAAACACTGTCCACATAAGACACATATGTACGCCATTGCCGTATTTTTTCCTCTGTTAGAAATCAAGAAAACGAAAATTTCCATGCTTTTGCCAAAGTGATGCTGTGTCGTCCCCACATAAGTAGATGTATACTACATATCTGTAGAAGTGCAAAAGTAATTTCTCAGCGCTCGACAAGCTTTAGTTCTCGAGAAATATCGAATATAGCTTTCATTGGTCAAGTGGTCCAAGTTAAAATTCAAATTTCTCGAGAACTAAAGCTTGTAGAGGGCTGAAAATCTACGATTGCACTTCTACAGATTTGTAGTACACATCTACTTATGTAGGGACGACACAGCATCACTTTGGCAAAAGCATGGAAATTTTCATTTTCTTGATTTCTAACAGAGGAAAAAATACGGCAATGGCGTACATATATGTCTTATGTGGATAGTGTTTACGTGAGCAACTTAGAATTTTTGTAGGATTCTTTTGAAATGAGTTATGATTTTTCTCGATTTCTAGGCAGTTGGATCTTTTTAATTTTTGGCTCGAAACTTGAGATGGATTAGAGTTGTTGCTAAAACATGCCATCTTGTAGAGCTTGCTTTGCTCTATCGAATGGTATCTTGAAGCCTATTCAGGATTGAAAAATATATGACTTATTGCGGTTGAAATTCAAAACGGACATTAATTTCCGGACAACTTAATATATCTGGGCAAGATTTGATCCTGCACAGCCTGTTTTCCTTATAAGTTCATATACGGTAACAAAAAACGAAAAAAAGGTTGTATCTGGGTTGCATCTAGATTCCATTTAGTTACGGAAGCTCGTTCGCTGCAGTTTTGCACTTTTACGACCCAAACCTCCTACTTTCTGTCCTGCAGATTCGGGCTCCTTCGCTGCGTCTTCTTGTCTTACAAAATTCCAAGCTTAAAATCCCAGTTTTTCGTTTCCAGGCGCATGTAAATTTGCTAGGTCGTACTTAAATTTTTTCGAGCTCATTGCTCGTGAACGCCTGTTTGTTCGCAGGATAATCTGTGCAGAATGTAAAAAATGCGTTTTGCAGACAACACTCTTTACTTTTCAGAAACAGCATGCATTACTTCTTTCTACAGAAAACAGTGTCCCCGACGGAGATCAAACCCAAAACTATCATTATTGTCTGAAGAGGTCTTATTTCCAGGATCATAATGAATGTCTTCTATAGAAAAGGGCGGATGGTCGTTATACTGAACTCCTAAAGTGCTACCATATTCATTCTGATTAAATATCAAGTTGCACTGACACTAAAGGAAAAAGGGCAGACTGATCGAGGTCCTTTGAGCGATGTGTCACAACGCGTTCCAGAGTGCAAGAAAATAAAAATGGCTAGAAAGATGCTCGAAGAGAAAGCACATTCATCAGAAACACATGTGCTTTTGAACTGTGTCTTATGAGTTTGTGTCACAAAATTCTCGAAGAAAATCTACATTCATGGTTTATGGGGGAAACCAATTCATATGGAAATTCTCGAAAAATGCATCTTTCACAAATCGTTAGCGACACGGTATACCTGCAAGTCAATGTATGCTCGACTAGAAAAACGCATGCACTACAAATTGACTTAGAAAAAGTGCACTTTAGAGAAACATGAATCACAGAAAATTGCAACTCGCTGGGTCATGAATTTGTAGGGAAAGGACCTTGGATTCTCTCATTATGTCTATGCATCTCAAGGAACAGGCTGAAAATCGTTCGTCGGTTTGCAGGTCACTTTTGTGACAATTTACACAATTTCTCTTGAACACGAAAATTTTGAAAACAAGGGGATTTTTACATGTCCTACTATATCACAGAAAATAGCAAAAAACCGGAACAGGGTAGTAAATAATGTCATCAACAGATTCCACGGACACAATCGGCTTAGAATTTCATTTGAACAGCAAACTCGTTTTATATGAAGTGGCGATAATCTCTATTGTTGGTTATTTCGGATTAACTTACATCTCCAGTTGAAGTCAGCAATCCTGTTCCCGTCGAATGTTTCGCAGCATCTTGGAGGATATTTTTCGTTTGAGTACAGAAGCTCACTCTTTGAAGCCAGCAATTTTAGCAGTTTAGTGCAGTATTCAGGGTGCAAAACTCACCGTAACACAGCTTTTCACTGATACATGCGCATGAGAAACGAGCACATTACGACTGTTTTCAAGAAGTTGGCGTGCACAACAGTCCCATGTTTGCCTTCCCTGAGAGCTACCTTCACCTGTTAGTTATTTTCAAGGTAGAAGCGATATAGGTGCAACCACGTATTGATCGTCGTACAAATACGCATATGACAGCGTATTGCGAAATGCGCAGCCCCTCTGAGTCAGCAGGCTGGTCCTCGCGCTCACCTGCCGCCATCAGCGCACACCGCATGTTTCAGGTGCTTCACTTGACAATTTTTCGCAATTCAATTGGCTGACGTTAATGTACTCTGTGAATAGTTGTTTTTCTTTTGTGGCAAAATTGTGCACTCTTTGAAGGTTTTTGTCTGCTGTGGTCTTCGTAGTCCAAGATAATCCAGGGAGTCATTGAACGGCTGATTAGCAAGCTTTCAAAGCTCATTTTTTTCTCGCTTTTCATTAGCTCAGGACATTACACCCTCATCGTAAGTGATCTGGTATTTGTCATCTAACAGGTTGATTCTAAAGCACCTTTTCGCCTGGCTTTGAACATAACTTTCTAAAGCAGTCGTGGCGGTAAAAAAATTGTAGGACACAGCAGATTTGCTATTACAGCGCGATTTGTGATCTGTAGCTGGAGCCACTACGAAAAGATTATCCAATCTGAAGATTGCTAAAAGTTCCCCTGGAAACTGTGATAGAACATAACGTCGCTTTAACGTATTAGGATGGCGCGAACAATGCTTCATTATATAGGGATGTTTAGTTAAGCGGTGTAGTAAAGCTTAGATTTTACCGAGTTTTTTTTTTGTGAGAAAATCTTGCGAAAATTCGTAAATACTCGCTTACTGCGCATCTCATTAGAGGCAAACTGTCTTTTCAGAATTCTTTGTTTTCCGTATTAAATAAGAATCTACCGTACTTCTATCATCAGATATACTTGGTCCACTCTAGCTGTGCACAAAAGTTTTGCGTCGCTTCGCCGAAGATTTTAGTACTGCACAGATGGGCACTAGCAACCACCCAAGTCTGTTAAAATCTCTGCTTTTTTCGAATCTGTACCAAAAACCTTCGCAATCGTCGTGCATATTTTTCAAAACAAATGCGGCTATTTTTCATGGATTCAGAGCAAGGAGAGGGAAAGAAAAAAATTCCAGAATTTACTTTGGTTTTGAGGGCATGTATTTTTTGAATGAACAAGAATTTGCGAAGGTGAAAGCGCATGTAAGTGCTCAGAGAAGGGGCTCACTTACCATAAAACGTTTCCAAGAAAAATGGTCTCCTTGTGAAGAATTCGAAAGAAGGTGTAATAAAAGCGTGCATTAATTTTGGACTCAATATTCATATCCTCTTCTTTCTGGTTTCAATTATATTGCTGTACATGAACTTGCTCGATTGCTGTTGAGCATGATTGTTATTCATTATCAAAGATACTTCTACGCATATGGCACTGTCAGCTTGCTTCAAGCTTTAAATCGCAGCTCTACAGATATTGTAAACATACGTATCCGTTCTTCAACTGAGCACCACATCATTTTTTCAATACACTACTTGAGACATGAAGCATCAGCACATAGACTGGAAAGAGTGATGACTTATGATGCACTCGTTATTTGCGCATTCGTTATTTTAGCACTCAGTGAAAAAATGCTTGACTCATACTTGGTGGAAGAACATTGCTCACCCAGTACGGTACTGAGTCCAAGTGCCCACTGGTGGGCGGATAATCTGCAAGCATCATACAAAGCTATCAGAGGTTATGGCATCAGAGAAAGTTGCGTACGTGTATGCAAGGCATCCACTGAGTTCTCCGAATTCGTCATTCTCTTCTCTTTTCATGGCTTAATTCTTGACTATAAATTCTGAAAAGCATGAAATTCTCGAAACCCATTGGGGACTTTTTCAGCACCGGCAGGTGCAAAAGCGGTAGTTCTGCCGGACAAGCAAATCTGTCTTATGAAGATTATCATACCCTGGTATCAATGGCATACCCATGATTTCCGTTGGGGCGGGGGGGGGGGGGAGGGGAGGGAGGGACAAAAATTCTTCTGCCGTCAGCCACGCACTCCGAAAAAATTTTTGGTACACTTCCCAATATTTTTATTTGCCTGTACTGACGCCACGCCCCGAAAAAATTTTTTTTACAAGGCTAATTGAATTTTTAAAATTTTTTAAATACTGTACTGTTTCTATATATTCAAAAGTGTGAACAACTCACTTGCACGATTTTAAAACTCATGTAAATAAATATCTCAAGAATTTCGCGACCCATTCTCCCCCCCCCCCTTGGTACGCCACTGGACCGAGGGTGGGGCATGGTTATGAAAAATATGCATGCGACTTGTTTATACTAGTAAATAATTAGAATAATTCCAAAAATTTATAAAATTCATATTAACCTTGCAAAAAATTTCCCGGGGGCGTGGCAGAGGCCACACTTCCTTTTCCATCATCCTAAAAAAATTTCCGGAGTTTCCGGAAATTTCTTATCTCATCCGAATCAGGCACTGCCTGCTACCTGAGCATAATGGATGCCCGGACATTATCATACAAGCTGGAAGTTCTAGGGGCTCGCATGCGTCAACACCTGCGCCGGCGCAGGGACCACAGCTCAAAAGGAAGCCTTGTACCCTGAAACTCCAGATCTGGATTTTACTCTGTGTATATATTCAAAAGTTTTCCTACTACCTTTCTCTTCAAACGTATCAATTGCGTTGTTGTTGAAGCCGCCTTCTAGCTTTTTGCATGATCCCGTTGTGACCCATAGCGGCCGACCTTCTTCAAAATCGTTTTTCTTTCTTTGAGCCTGAAAACATTCCAAAGTTGTGCTTGTTTTCTAGCACAATACAAAGCGTGGTTCTGATATAAATACAAGCATGACTCTAATATAAACGAATGATTCATTGGAAATATGATTAGTTCTATGAACCCCAAGTTTCGGCTCGTGGTTCTGAATTTTTTTTTTGCCCCGATATTTAGCTGTCCATAGATACTGTTGGCTTGGAGGAAGTACACCGTGTACGTCTTGTAATCAAACAATGATGAGCATTTTCTGATATGAATAGTTGAAGTATCTGAGTAATGGAAATTCCGATGAACCATAAGTCGAAAGTTGGTTTGTTGAATACCTCACCAAGTCAGTCATCCGTTTTTATTAGAAACATGCTAACTACTGTTGGGTTAGATATAAGTACAACTTTGGGATATTTTCACTAACTTCAAAGAAAGAGAAATAGTTTGAAGAAAAGGTCGGCCGCTGTGGTCATCAGAAGATCATACGAAAAGCTGGGAAGCGCGGCTTATTCAACAATGCGCTCCTTTTTAAAAATGCTTACTGCATAGGTGCGATAGTGTGAGATGAACCTCACGCCCTCCCACTTTGGAGCCTGGGCTCCCCCCCCCTTCACTTAGGACGGAGTAAAAAATCTTTTCGGGAGAAGACAGTGTGCGAGAGAGGGATTGCCACTTCGCGCTCCGGAGCCCTGCCATTTCACGCATTTTTGTGCTCCGGGGCTCTCTCAAAAGTGGCGTATTTCCGGAGCAGAGATTGCGCGTCGCGGAGAGGGGTCCCATCATTTATTCACCGTGACGTCAGGGTGACGTCACAAACAGGACGAATGGGGACCTCTCTCCGGGACGCGCAAATCTCTGCTCCGAAGGTGCACCACTTTTGAAAGAGCCCCAGAGCACAAAAATGCGTGAAATGGCAGGGTTCCGGAGCGCTTCGGAGCGCGAAGTGGCAGACTCGCGCCATATGCCCGCCGGAGATATCCCTTCGACTGTCTGAGTCATAAAACGAGGAGTACATGAATCAGCATGGATGGTTGAATGATCTTAAAATGGATGGCTAGCGTGGAGCCTTGACGTGGGCGTGTTGGACAATAGTTAGAAGGAGACAATTTTTGGTTGTTCAGCAACATAAGCTATACGCAACCCTAATACAAGCGCATAGGAAGAGATTTCTCCGCAGAAGATTTCCAACCGAAGTTCATATCAAAAGCTGGGATCAGCAGGCTGTTATTGAGAGATGGAGATGAGCACGATGAATGGTACTTTATTTCTCTTTTATTAGTGCCACTGCTTTCACATACAGCCCTGCGACACAACTCATAGTTGCGATAGGGGGAGCAATGGAATTTATTCTTCTCGCGTTTGAACCAGAACCCGGATGACCCCCTCCATTTAAGGTTGAATTGGGTAGTTGGAGAGTGAATCATGATCAAGATGTTCATCAGTATTGGAGATTCAGCACTTCAGTCGTAAAACACAACAAACACATATTCCGTAAGAGAAGTTTTCCAATCAGTAACGATAAGAATTACAGTAGTTGCATTTTTTTCGCACTGTTTTAAAGGTGTCTACATTAGGTACTGTAGTATAAAAAAATTACCCAAATTAGGTGAATAAAAATAACTCAAAAACACTCCAAAAATAATATAATAGTCAAATAACATTTGGATTTTCTTTCTCAGTCTCACTGGGTGATTTGCTGCCTCTTCACGTTTCTTAGATAAAATTCTTAAACATATTTTTAAGCCTTAATGGCAGCGTTCCACCAGATCGGGGGGTACATGGCTCTGGTACTAATGTAATAGTAGACCCAATAACTAAGCGAGTACAAAAGTTTGCTGCGCGAAAGGGGTTCTACCGAAGTCTACAAATCGCCCACCAAGTGGTCTGACGGTAGACTCGGGCGAGTACGAGATGCACGCAGAGTAGAGCCGCAGATTCGTTGCGGGACCCTGCCCTCATGACTGTGTGCGCTATGCGTGCGCTGGCCTTGGGGTTCGAAATCGCTGCACGTTCGGCATTCGGCCTTGACAACGAGACGAACAATGATGACGATCGCATCGGACGCATCCATCGAAGATCTCTTGATGCAAGCAAAGAAGATCAAGTACGACGTCATCGGACTGACCGAGACAAGGAGGCACCACTCCTGAACACACTTTTCATACTGGAGAAGAGCTGTTCCTAGGAACATGCGACAGCAAGGGAGTCGGCGGTGTAGGAGTCCTTGTCAATACGAGTTTGGCCGTGAGCATCGATTCATTCGAACAACTCACAACCCGGATCGAACATTTACGAATATTACGATGTCGATCAATTCCAGCCTTGACGGTCTTCATAGCGTACGCCCCAACATCAAGCTACGACGAAGATGAAGTCGAGGCCTTTTACATGGACTGGAGAAGTTCTACTGAGAAGAGCACACCTTCTACAAGGTCATCGTCGGTGACTTTAACGCAAAGATCGGAGCAAGAAGGTCGCCTGCGGAACTTCACATCGGGACTCATGGACTACAGTGGAACGAACAAGGGGAGAGAACTATCCGAGTTCATCATGACGACGAGGACCATCCATGGAAACTCTCAATTTCAAAAGTCCCTTCCCGACGCTGAACCTGGGAATCGCCCGGTGGAGAGTACCATAATGAGATTGATCACATCATCGTCAATAGAAGGTATTGCCTGACCGACGTCGCTGTTGTTCCAAAATTCTACACGGGATCGGACCATCGTCTCCTTCGTGCCAAGTTCTACTTCTCACGGAATGGAGAAAGAGCCATCAAGTTTAGGAAACACCGTCCCACCAGTGTCATCAACTGGGACCTGTTTTCCCATATCCGGCTTTTGGCGAGATACCGTGATCGACATCAGCGACGAGGAATATGAAAGATTTATCCAGCATCTCCACGATTGTGCTAAGGAAGCGGAGAGCTCAAGAACTACCAGGAAACGCCTGTCAACGGAGACTCTAGAACTCATACGCCAACGTGGATGAGCACGAGCGTCAGGCAATTACCAGCTTACGTCTGAGCTCGCGAAGAAATGCAGAGAAGTGATAAAAGAAGATCTCAAAGAGAGAAGAGCAAAAGTTATGGTTGACGCCGCGGAGGTCGGAAGAAGTATAGGCAACGCCCGCCGAAGCATCGTCAACTTCAAGACCAAGATGACCGCACTCCACCGCTCTGATGGAACCACGACATCTTCCCGAAGGTCGATGGAGAAAGTCATCAGCGAATTTTACTCGGATCTCTTTGCGAGTCACGTCCACCTACCACCATTCCATCTCAAGAAGGACGGATATGTCGCACCATCAGTTCTTCCTTCAGAGGTTCGACATGCTATCATGTCAATGAAAAGCCGTACAGCAGCCGGGCCCGACAGGATCAAACCGGAACACCTAAAGAATCTCCCACCAGTTCTTATTAGAACTATGGCGAGGCTCTCCACTTGGTACCTGACGGAGGGCACGATTTCAAGTCAGTGGAAGACCACCAAGACCGATTCGGTTGAGACTGAGGCTGTCATCGATGCCTTGAGCAGTCAAGGTATTCCAACTCAGTACATCAAGATGATTCGTGAGCTGTACAGCGATTTCACAACCAAGATCACACCATTCTACAAGGACATCACCAACGACGTGAAGAGAGGAGTACGACAAGACGATACCATATCGCCGAAACTTTTCAGCGCTGCTCTCGAAAACGTCATGCGGACACTAGAGTGGGATGACATGGGTGTGAAAGTCGACGGCCGGCAACCACACCACCTTCGCTTCGCTGATGACATAGTCGTAATCACACCGGACATCACGCAAGCGGAACGAATGCTGGCCCAGTTTGATGACGTGTGTGGAAAGATCGGTCTGCAGCTAAATCTAACGAAGACGATGTTCATGAGAAACGGATGGGTTCCTGATGCTCTTTTTACGCTGAAAGGAATGACGATTGCCGAATGCTCTAGCTACGTGTACCTAGGTCGGGAAGTCAACATGATGAACGATCTAGCCCCGGAACTGAGCAGGAGGAAACGAGCAGCATGGGGAGCATACAAGGCAATTGAGGACGTAGTGAAGAAGACCAAGAACATCCGGCTCCGCGCCCATCTTTTCAACACGACGGTTCTGCCCTTTGACGTACGCTTCGGAAACGTGAACCATGAGGAAGCAGGACGAACATGTGGTGAGCGTCATCGAACGCGCTGTTGAGAGAGCGATGTTAGGAGTGTCCCGACTCGCGCAAGTGAGAGAAGGAATGCGAAGCTCCACCTTACGTCAACGATCGAAAATCAGGGATACTGCCGCATACGCCAAACAGAATAAAATCAGATGAGGCGGACGCGTGATGCGTTTTGACGACAATCAGTGGACCAGAGCTGTAATAGATTGGACACCGCTGAACGTCAAACGCGGAACAGGAAGACCGCCGACTCGACGGTCGGACATGTTCACGAAGTCCTTTGAAGCAGTCCTTCAGAGCGTTCCTCGTGTACCTGGTGCGATGAGACATTGGTCAACGATCGCTCGCGACAGGGACGAATGGAGGCGCCACTGGATCCCGCTCGTGTCAAGCGACGATCAACGGGAGGTGATTAATTTTACAGCAGATTTCTGCCCAACGAAGACCTAACTACCGCTGATTATCTATCTATATTACAGAGCAAGTCTTCGTCAGTAAGCATAGACCGTCGCTCTTCTCGTAGCTTTTATCTTCAGCGTTAAGAGAGCAGGAAGTGAGCACACTAAATCGGTTGATTTATTGGCCGGATGAAATTGCTCATATGTCCCGGTCTAACATTCAGAAGAAACTCGACCGTATTATTCGGTTCTCCATGACCTCAGCTTTTATATGGTACGTAGCTTATTAAGATTCTCAGGACTTACCCCCTTCACCCTACAAGAATGGTAGCCGAGACCCCCTTCACCTGGAGAGGGCCCGGCTATAGGCCGTCCGCGCTGGGCGCGGAGAGTATACCCTGTCGCACCTATGGGCTAGGGCATACTTCATGCGCCACGCATCTGGCATCTATTTTAGTCGCCACGCATCTGGCAATCTGTCAGATGGCTTCAAAACATACATTGGCAGACCGATTTGGCGTGTACAACTTTCGTAGATTGATGAAATGCCTATTTGCTGTACATTTACCCTAAAATCCCAAAGATAAGAGCGGTTTAACTTACCGGTGAAAAATGAATTGGAATGAATTGAAATTGAATGCATACTCCTTAACTTGATGGATGGATAAATAAAAATCGGAGAAGAACTTTAGAAGAAGCTCCGCCCTCAACTCTAAACCTTGCCCACTTAATAAACAATTCATATAGGAATTCCGAAATTCCGCTAAAATCGCTATTTCTCTATATGAATTGTTTATTAAGTGGGCGGGGTTTAGAGTTGAGGGGCGGAGCTTCTTCTAAATTTCTTCTCCTATTTTTATTTATCCACCCATCAAGTTAGAGGGGTGACTGCATTCAATTTCAATTCATTCCAATTCATTTTTCACCGGTAAATTAAACCGCTCTTATCTACGGGATTTTAGGGTAAAGCGCTTAGGATGAGTTGTGGACAGTTGGAGTATGTCAAGTCGCGTGAAGTATGCTCAAGCCTCACAAGGGAAACGAGTTTAGGACAATAAACTGTGAACAACTCCAAGTTACCTTCACTTAACAGGAGTTTTGAACTCTTAACTTACCTTATTGTTCGGCAAAAGTTGGCAAAGGGGATTAAAGTAATTAAACATCAGCTTACGCTCAGTTTTGGAATGGAAGTTGCAACACTTCACGCAACCAAAAATATGTGGTATAAGTAATTTGAGAAAAAGGAGCGAAGAGAAAAGCAAGAGAAGAGAGGACGGAAACTACTGCTTATAAGACGACAAATGTGAACTAAATGATGCTTTGAACTGATTCCCAGTCTTATTTTCTTGGTGATGTAGTGTCATATCTGAGAAACAAAGAGGACTAGTCATTCTGAACATCTGAATGGCCCGCAAGCGTAACTATGCTCATTCCTTACTAAAATTTTGAGCTCATCAGGAGTTGTGCGCCGTTGGCTATTGTCTAGGGGCAAGAGACTGGCTATGTTAGTTTGCGTTTGAAAGCTGCACTTATCTTGTCGCTTCGCTGATGCAGGATTGTAATTCAATGTTAGTATCCATTGTAATATCAAAATATATCTGATATATTCTCTGTAACGTTAATATCTGATATATCATTACTCTTACCAACATCACTCTATTAATTACAGGCCCAATGCGAGATCGATTAGCGGATTTTCAGGCAAGTTTATCTCTACAAAATAGCTTTCCTGTTTTTTCAATGTTAGTGATTTCCTGCTAAAAAGTATTTTTTGTTTATGGTAACTTTTGAATGAAACTTGGCACGGTTATTAATTCTAGTTATTAGGAGCGTAGCAGATTTTCAATTTACACTCTTTTTACAATTTTGAGTGGGCTTGCGGGACATATATTAGCCTGAAAGCTTTTTTTTGACAGTATGCTTTCACAAAAACAAAATGCGAGCAAGCTTCGAAATATGTGACGGGAAACACTGCATTCCGTGAGTTTTTGGTAAAAAGGACGGCAGAAATTCTGTGCATGAAGGGGCTAACGTTATCCACGTTCTCCGAATTTCTTCCGGGATGCTTCGAAATCTTGCTACAAAACTGTTCCAAGTTTCAAAAATTCGAAATATTTCAGTTCATTGCCAAAAAAACACGAATCACTCGCACAATTCTATTTTGAATTTACTCGATATACTGTGTTACTGTAGAACATATCATGTTCAAGAAAAAAATTCAGGAGAGCATGAAGCTCATCGTAGTTGAATATCTCCTATGCTATGACACTAAATTCCTTCATTATCCGTTGGATCTCTATATTTTCAATCATTTAGCGTAGAGTCGTCACTGACCGATTTGAAGAGGTCGAGTTGGGTCCTACACCACCAGCTGGCGTTCCGGAAGGGATTGCCACAGCCATAGATGGACGGTTGAGGTGGGTTTTCATAAGCTGAGAACGTTTTGGGAAACTTTGTACATTCCATCGCATTTGCTGGAGTAGAAATTCGTCACGGCCTTGGCGCGACGGCGTTGGCGCAATTATATACAGAGATAGGGCCGCATGCACTAACATCCCCGCGGGGAGGGGATCGCAGCTTAAAAGAAAAATTTTTTTGAAACTCCAGATACCTGGATTTCACGTTGTGTACCTACCCGTAAGTATTCCTACTACCCTTCACTATGAACATGTTGAAGAGGAGCGAGAAGCTGTACGAACCGCATTTTCCAGCTTTGTATGATCCCTGATGATCCCCGGCGCTTTTCTTTAAAGTCATTTTTCTTTCTCCGAAGTTAACGAAAAACCTCCAAAGTTGTGCAGATTATCTAAACCGACAGTGCTAAGCATGTTGCTGATAAGAATAAATGACTGGTCGAAATTTGAAGTTTTACCGAAGAATTCGACTTTTCGAATACTCATTTGTTCTCATCAGCAACATGCTTAGCACTGTTGTGTTAGATGTTCAGTACAACTTTGGAAGGTTTTCGTTAACTTCGGAGAAGGAAAAATGACTTTAAAGAAAAGCGCCGGAGATCATCAGGGATCACACAAAAGCTGGAAAACGCGGTTCGTACAGCTTCTTGCTCCTGTTCAACATGTTCATAGTGAAGGGTAGTAGGAATACTTAAAGGCAGCGGACAGGCAAAATGGACCCCTGTCAGATTTTGGTAGTTTCGGGTAGTGGACCCCCCAAGTACACCGTAGCCCCAGCCCCAACTTCCAATTGATGCGCTAAGTCCTGAAAAAAGCACTTCAAAACTCCACCAGCCCCGCCCACTTGCATTGAGTGGGCGTTATTGGTGGAAGTTTGAAGCGCTTTTTTCAGGACTTAGCGCATCAATTGGAAGTTGGGGTTGGGGCTACGGTGTACTTGGGGGGTCCACTACCCGAAACTACCAAAATCTGACAAGGGTCCATTTTGCCTGTCCACTGCCTTTAAGGATAGGTACACAATGTGAAATCCAGGTATTTGGAGTTCCGAAATATAAAGCTTTCCTTTGAGCTGCGATCCCCTCCCCAGCGGGGAGATTAGTGCATGCGGCCCATAGATTAGAACTAGATGATATATATATATATATATATATATATATATATATATATATATATATATATATATATCAGTGGCGTACCGAGGGGGGGGGGGGGCGGGGGGGGGCGCGCGCCCCCCCCCGAGAACGGGTCGCGAAATTTTTGAAAGTTACTTACATGGGTTATAAAAATGTGCAAGTGACTTGTTTTTACTTGTAAATAATTAAAATAATTTTTAAAAATTTTTAAAAATTCATTTTAGCCTTATAAAAAAATTTTTTCGGGGGCGTGGCTGACGCCACGCCCCCTTTTTCCAGATTTTAGGGGTCGGGGACCCGGAAGAATTTTGAGAAGCACCCCAAAAAATTTTTCGGAGTGCGTGGCTAACGCCACGCACCTTCTTTAGAAAAAAATTTTTGTCGCGCCCCCCCCCGAGCCGAAATCCTGGGTACGCCACTGATATATATATATATATATATATATATATATATATATATATATATATATATATATATATATATATATATATATATATATATATATATATATATATATATATATATATATATATATATATATATATAGGGTGTCCCAAAAAAGATGTACACACTGTTTGATCGTTAATAACTCTCTTGCTTTCAAGTCTTTTGCCGAGCTTGAGGTACCATTCTATAGAGCGAGGACAAACTTAGATTTACGGTATGGAGCGAATCACCAATCGCTCTTCGTTACTGTAGGATCACGGTAAAAACTCTCAGCATACAGCGTCAATGTGGAATAAGCCTTTTGATGAAATAACTTCGAAAAAATCTAAAAAATTGTGTAACAAGGTTTTCAAGCGTGCTGATTTTTCTACATAACTTTCCACCAGTTTTTCGAGCTTTCTTGATGGCGTATTCACATTTCTAACAAATATTGGAAAATCAGTCGTTACCCTAAATCTGATATAATCCATGAAAGAAACAGTGTACTGACGTGCAATTTTCATATTTAGAATTAGCAACTTCGAGTGACCCAGTTCATGAGTTTCTGGCTTGTTTGGCTTTTTTCTGAGGCAAAAAACTGCTTCCAATGGCTCAAAATCCTTCCCGAAATTCCTACCGTAATCCTACAGTAATGAAAAGCTGCTTATAAATCGCTCCATACTGTAAATCTAACAAGGGAAGGATACTCGGTCGAAGTGGCCATTTGGAATGAGCTGTATATTAGGAAACCGTCCTCCGTAAGGCAAACTCAAAACTACTTTCGCTAGGTGCCGAGCGGTTTTGTGGGGGGAGTTACAAGGCCATTTTCCTCCGGCGCAGCCAGCGCACCCAGTAATGAGCGAGGCGCTAGAATAACGCAGCAGTGTGGCAGTGGCGCAGTGGCAACGCAGCGGACTACGAAGCAGATGATCGAGGGTTCGAGTATTGTTGCTGCTATTTTGTTTTGCATTTCTGTAAAAAGTCTATTGGGTGACAGCAAACGAGAAATACTATTTCTAGGCAGTCGAAACAAGCTAGTTACGCAAAAAAGCCACTTTCTGCAATCATGACTTATAATAACGGGCTAAGGGTTGTTTACGTCTTTTTGTACGTGTGTGTGTCTGTCTGTCCGTTACGAAATTCGTAGAGCGTGTTCCAGCAAACGTTCTAAGCCCAAATTTTGCATAGCGCATGCTACCTTTATGGAAGCCCAATATGCAAAAGCACGAGTAGATTCGTTGAGTGGATCCCTCAGAAATTGCGCGCCAAACGGGTCCACCTGGCTTCTGTACCGCCAAATTCGGTCCGTATCACCACTTTTTGCAGAGTCGTGGATGAGTTTGGTAAGCAAATGTGCAAGCGATGGAGTTTAGCCAGAATTTTTTTGAAAGTTTACTACATAACGAAAACCGCGCCAAAACAAATTGGTTGTGTAAATGGTCAATTTGCCAAGGTTCTAGCTAAGCATTTGAGAAGATTTTCCCACAGAGATGTAGCTCACGGTTATCATTACCTTCATGGCGACTCACAAGTAATGACAAATCCAAAAACCTATTCAAATTTGCGTTTGTTTTCCTGCGAAAAGTTTCATCCACGCGAAATCACCGATCTCACGTGAAAAGACTTTCTGAATGAGTGGTTGTTTACATTTTATTCGTGGTAGTCGGCATAGCGCGGTGAGTTCCAGTGCCACGATTTTACGAGAATGAGTAAGGCACATAGATAGTAGAGCCAGCGCGAACCTCTGCGAAGCAGAGGTGACGCACTGGTAAACTATAATCTTCTAAAATATGTAAATCTGTGGAGGTAATGATGTCACAACAGGGGATTCAAGTGATATATTAACATGTATGGAATACAACCACAAAATGCTCAAAATAGAAGAGCTTCTCGCATCGCGCACATCGGATAAAATAAAACGATGACAATCAGCAGCTTCACAATTGTCTATCAAAGTCGGTGAAAAACCGTACTGAATAGGAGACTCGAATTCGCCGGGGTGGTTGTCAATGTATCCGGCTGCATCCATGGGTATGAAAGCAAATTTTTGAATCGCGGCGAGCAAAGTTGTGTGTAAATGAGCGATAAGATCTTAAGGATGGAATCCCTATGATGCAAGGTAAAGTTCAGATCAAGAGCCAATAAATGGGATGTGAATCGCTTGCAATTCTGCAAGTGCGCGCGTTGCGAGAAGCTCTTCTGCTTTGTGCATTTTGTGGTTGTATTCCATACATGTTAATATATCATTTGAACCCATTGTTGTGACATCATAACCTCCACAGATTTACATATTGTAAAAGATCATGGCTTATTGTAGAAATAGTGACTTTTTTGCGGTAAATAGCTTGTTTGAACTGCCTAGAAATAGTATTTCTCGTTTGCTGTCACCCAATAGACTTTTTACAGAACTGCAAAACAAAATAGCAGCAACAGGACTCGAACCCTCGATCATCTGCTTCGTAGTCCGCTGCGTTGCCACTGCGCCACTGCCACACTGCTGCGTTATTCTAGCGCCTCGCTCATTACTGGGTGCGCTGGCTGCGCCGGAGGAAAATGGCCTTGTAACTCCCCCCACAAAACCGCTCGGCACCTAGCGAAAGTAGTTTTGAGTTTGCCTTACGGAGGACAGTTTCCTAATATACAGCTCATTCCAAATGGCCACTTCGACCGAGTATCCTTCCCTTGTAAGTTGAACCTCGCTCTAAAGAGTGATGCCCCAAGCTTGGCAAAAGACATGAAAGCAAGAGAGTTATTAACAATCAAACAGTGTGCACATCTTTTTGGGACACCCTGTATATATATATATATATATATATATATATATATATACCTGTAAGGTCTAAGCCATACAGTTTAGTCGTTTTATCAGTGCACACTCTTATATGCGTTGAGCGTTTCGCATACAATGAGGAAAATCCTTACTAATGCTCCCACTGATGCATGAAATGAACGATAAGTATCAGAAAGACGCTAAAAAGAACTCACTCGGGAAAATTCCGTCTTCAAAGGTTAGCGAAATGGCAGCGTAACAAGGGTAGTTTGTGCAGGCGCACATATCATAACGTTGCTACTCGACTCCATTTGGACTGATGCAATGTTGAAGGCATAACTGTCTGATTCAACTGTCTTGGCTTCGGGAAGGCGCGGCTTTGTGACCCAATCAAGGCCGCTCGCGCCCGCGACGCACCTGCGTCTCTCTCGCGCGGGCGCTTTTTGATCATCAGCTAGCCTTGATTAGGTCACGAAGCCCCGCCTTTCCGAAGCCAAGCCAGTTCAATCAAATGGTATGTACGTAAAAGCAGCTAGTGAGAGTATATTTGAACTTGGGACTCTCGGCCATATTTTGCGCTTTGTCAGCAACGCAGGGACAGTATGTTACCGTACAAATCTTTCAAAGACGAATTGGTTACGGTCAGACTGGTCTTCTAGTAAAGGAGTTGCAAAGTTGCATCCCTCCCACCGTTGCTGCTACCCCCAGGGCCCGACACGAGTCGGTTTCTAGGGTTTCTCAAAACGAAGTCTCCTCTGAGTTTCGCATGTTTTACGAAGTCCCCTTTGACCTACCTGCTTAAAAGAAGATGAAAACAAGAAAGATTCAGTCTGAAAGAAAAAACGTGAGATAAGAGTGAAAATCCAAATTGTAGCTGGATACTACGCATGCATAAGAGTTTGGCATTGGAGCGCGATAATTAACAAAGCGATTTATGAAGAATTGAGGCAAAAAATAAAGGAACGGCAATGATATGAAAAGGTCTTCTTGCTCAGGCATAGATTTTTGACCGGGGGATCCGTCCATGTTAGAAAAATCCAAAACTTATGTGAAGCGACAGAAATATATGCTCCAGATGATCTCAGTTCGTCTGGTGACCGTCTGGAGACGGACTAATTTTGGAAAAGGTAATACTTCACATAAGTTTTCAAGTCTTTCTGCATAATTCTTTTTCATATAATTTTGTATGTATACAGTTCAATTTTGGTGTTCATATGATTCCGTGTGCGCTGTAAACAAGTAATTTGTTTATTTTAGGCTTGCTTTCAAATCGCGCGCACTTTTCGCCGTACACGGTAGAGCATGTTAATCGTGTTTTAATCTGTCCGAAAAGCTTGTGTTCGACTAAATGGCGTTTATTCTTGGTGCTTGGCCTCGACTCGTCAGAAATGATAGTTTCTCTGCTTTTTGCTCCAAAAAACGAAGTCCAGCCTGCTTCCAGACGATCTGTGCCGGGCCCTGGCTACCTCTGTTCTGTGTCTCTAACGTGCGGCACGTATGGCCAACACGTTGGCAAACTATTTTGGCTATCAGCATCAGCGCCAAAACATACAGGCTGTATCAGTGAGCATCATTCAAGCGACGTCGCGCCGCGGCACTAGGCGGCATGACCTGCGCGGACTCTGCTACGCGTTAAGGCACGTCGCGTGCGACAGTGCGTCATCGCGGCGCGGGACCGATGCCGGTTGGTACAGCCTATAGTGTTGCATGTTGCCATGTTAGAAGCGCGTGTCGCAGATCAGAGACTCAGAGTAGGGTAGCAGCAACTGTGGAAAGGGCTATTTGATATTTTCTACACTAAACTTTCAATCCATGGGCTACATTTGGTTTTAACACGTTTCGGACCGGTGCTGCACATGGTGCAGCACGCTGATTGAGGGATCTTTCTGGCGTTTGCAGAAGGTTTCCTTTCAGTCTGAAGTTGTTAAGTTAAAGGTCTAACCTCCTACTTTTCAAATGACTCTGTATAGTTGTGCCGCCGATATTTGTTTAGGAGATATGAGCACAAATCGAACAACAGTTGCAACGAAGTGCGGCGACGCGAACGACGCGTGCGACGTCGCAACTTTCCTTTGCTTTGATATCAGGGAGAAAAACCGTAGTTTTGATACTGATGTGTACCGTGTCCAACATAGATACTTTTGAATACTATTAGAATCTGAGTTCTTGTTCCTATCTTTCAAGAAAGCACAAAAGTCCCTCTCAAGCGACAAAATTCAAACACTTCGATTTCACTCAGAACTTTGGATATGGAGCTTATCTGACATGCTGATTACAATTGTGGCCCATAGGCTGCGAAATAAGGTCCCTTTGTAGGCTAACGGCTGAAAGTACACTCTTTTTCGCCGCGCGCGATTTCGCGGTCCGAAACGTGTTAAGAACCCTTTTGCTCAGATTGTTCGTGTGAAAAACACCAAGCCACCAGAAGTTCAGTGAGTCTCAAAAGTGACAGGAACGAACACGAGCTCAGCGTTGTGAGTACGAGTTTATGTTTGAGTGGAAGTTTATACTATTTTGGACGATCCACAAGCGTACATCCTGGCTCGCATTCTTTTCCCTATATAGTTTCCCTTTTTGTAAGTTCGACAAAAACTTGGATTATAAAAGCTATTGGACTATGCCAAACAAGTCACTGAAGACATGAGTTCTCAAAGCTAATGAGTGTTGGGTAGTCCCTGGGCGTGTTTATCAAAAATACCAGTAGTTCAAATTCGATACCAAGTTTGAGTTTTGCTCTCATTAGTAGCATACCTGGCATTGTCAGACTAGATTCACTCATACCTGCGACTTTATATAAATTTCTAGTACTGGAAGTCTTTAAAAAGAAGGCTGCGCATTCGTGGTTATGGGCTTTGGTGAAATTTCTTCAGCACAGACTTTTTGTAGAATGTTCTGGTTTTTGGAGTCTCTCTGTTGCTGAACAGGTTTTTTCGTTTCCTACCATAAAGCTACGGCAGTCTGTCTCAAATATTCAGAATCTAACAATAAGAGAATGTTGCGACAAGTTTGGATCATGTTACGGCTTCATGCCCAGTTGACGCTTATGTGATCGCCGTTTCATGTTGAGTTGTTGAGTTCAGGGGGAATGGAAGCCGAAAGTAACGAGAACCTGAAATTCTGGATAACACGTTCTAAAATATCACTTACGACTTACATAAGTATGTATCAGTTGGAACTTACCTACATGGGTTATAAAAATATGCAAATGACTTGTTTATTTTTGTAAATAATTGAAATTTTTTTGAATTTCTTAAAAATTCAAATTAGCCTTGTAAAAAAATTTTTTTTCGGAGTGCGTGGCTAACGCCATGCACCTTCATTTGGAAAGTTTTTTGGCCCCCCCCCCCACGGTCCGAAATCCTGGGACCGTCACTGGTATGTATAGATGCACCCGACTTTTGTACGTGCCCAGTACGTACGGGCTCCTATAGTCTATGCATATCTTCTTTTTTCACAGATCAAAAGTCATCTGTGAGAAAAGAAGATATGCGTAGACTCATCATTGAATTGACATGCAAACCTATAACTGAAAATAGGTGCAAGGTGGAAGTTTGTAGTTGTCCTGTTATCCAGTGAACCGATTGGAAATATTCCAGTTTGACTCGTAAGCTACTCAGTGAACTCCAGTCGGAAATTGAAGTACTTCGTCGAAAAGAACAGCACATTTTAGCTTTAGCTGTAGCCGATCCTACTGAAAAGGTTTCAACTACTTTGAAGTTTTGAATTTTTGCTTATTGTGTATCTACAGGATGTGCTGGAAGACCAAATAGGAAAGATCCGGCGAAAAACGGTCGATTTGAGGAGAATGGTGAATGAAGTCGACAATGAATTCAATGAATTTGCGAGAGGTAATAGATCTGTTTGGAATATTGATCGAATGTACAGGCCCCGTAAAATCCAATTGCCCACGCGTCGCTTTGAACATCAAGGCGCGGCGCGGTTGGGAACGTTTGGTCCCGAAGCGCTAAGGCTTTTTGCGAGCGAGAATGAGCGCGCACCCTTTCCACACATATTTTTTCAAACTTGTGAAGGGAGCTTTCGTCAAGATATACCTTGCATTGACGAGAACAACATGAAAGCTAAAGAAAGATTTCCTGGAATATAGTGAACGCCGAAGTCGTTCGCGACGACTCGCTTACGCTGGTGTTCAAGGCACGGCGCGGGCAAATAGATTTTACGGCGCCTATAAATGCTAACACAGCTGCATGCGGTATTCAGTCTGTAAATCTTCCGGAGAAGTGCGAGTCCGCAAAAACCAAATCGATCTCATAAGGAAGAAGCTGAGAGATCTCATCATTCAGTTCAACGAAACACATGCTGATTATCGGTCACGAGTGTCGGGTTGGTGTCCCCTTGATGCGACTTTTAATAAAGAGCTACGAATACAGTGCGAGTTCGACGTCAGCTACGAGCAGTCGGTGAAAATGTTACGGAAGAGGAGGCAGATAAAATCATTGACGCTGCCGGTCACGATGAGGTTCGATGCACATTTCGGATTAGATAGTAGTTGGTTCCTAAGCGATCATTTGCGGTTAATTTGGTTTCTGTATCTTGTTAAACTCACTATGAAAGTTGAGTCTTCAAATATGGCCGTTGTTTTTTCGATTAAGCATTGTGTAGGCTAGGTAACACACTTAACATGCTGACGACCAAGTCATTTTGGGCGAAACTTCCACTAACGTTTCTCGCGCATTTGGCCCGTGCATACGCGCGTATGCACGAAGTCATAATGCGGGACTCTTTTTGACACTTACATAAAAAACATGAGCTTTTTCATGAGTTACAGATGTATCACACAGTCTCGAATCAAACCTATCGAAATTTTTGCATCGTTTCTTCTCCAATAAACCAAGCTATGTTTATGTCTGAAGAATCTCCCTTTGAGAAGAGCGTTATGACATAATTGTATTCCGCCTGAATCATTCTTCTTTTCTCTCAGAATAGCTATAGGTTTTTGCTTACTCGAAAAAGTATAATCAGCGTTTATTTATCACATCAAAAATGGACTGAGCACCCAAATCTGCAGTTCAAAATGCTGAAGGCTGCCGCAATGCCCTGTGTTCTATATGAAATCAGGCCTCTTAGTGCATGGGAGTTACCTCGGAACTTTTTGTTATACTCAGAAAACTAGCGTGCATATGTGCTCATACACGAAAATGCTAAATGGGTCAGGGCGTGCATAATACGCGCATATGCACACGGTTGTCAACGTGCTAAAGATGCTTTGTTCCTAGAAAAGACCTCACTGCGAAAATCTTTTGTAGAACGCGCATTCTCAAGATCTGAGCATTTCTGCGTGCTTTTTAAAGAAATTTCTTCACCTCGAAGTCATCGCCAATTCTTGTTAGAAATGGAAAGTGAAAACTTAGAAGCTAGCGTGTCTTGGATGACTTGTAGCTATAATTGACCTTGAATGCTTGCTTGGCATCAGTAACGTAGCCGATAGGGCAATGCTTAGGTTTTTTATGCAAATGAAATAGTGAAATTTAGGCATTGCGTCAGCTGATCTTTTTGTTACGTTCTTTGTTCTCACATTTTGGTTTGTTTGAAAAGACGATGAAAATAATGTAGCAATGAACATCTGCGTTTCTAACACGCCACGGCTCAAATAAAGATGGTTCAAGAACACGTAAAAAACGTGCAAATATGACTTCATTTTCTTCGTCAAGTATTGCCACTATCTATAATAATCAGATAATCTGATCAAAATTTCATACATCATCCTTCTTCATTTGCACACGAAACAAATCATTATATCTTTATTTATTCGTGTCCCAAATTTGTATGTGCTTGCAGCTGTTTTTCCGCCAAGTGAATCCCTTATCTGTATCGGCAAAGGCTGCCTTAGCTGATGTCAAACGCAGGCATAATGAGATTGTCGAGTTGGAGAAGAGCATACAGACAATGCAAGAAATTTTTGTCGACTTGCAGAATCTCACAGAAATACAGGTCCATCTCGTAAAGTTTGTTTCATGTGGTCAGCATGGCCAATCCTGTGGCAATATTATCTGCAGAACGAAATGGTAGACAACATTGCGCAAAATATTGAGACCACTAAGGAACACGTGGAACAAGGTGCTCGAAATGTGAAGGTTGGGTTGGAGTACAAGAAGAGCGCAACACGAAAAAAGGTGAGCATAGAGTCATTATTGCCTACATAATCGTAGGGCCTTAAAATGAAGGCCGTTTTTCACCTACTAATATGTCTTCGGTTTTCTGCTCTTCTTCTACCTCTGAATTCGTAAATCTCCTTGAAGATTTTCTCCGTAGCAGCGGATAACACATATTCTTGCGACTCTGCCGCCTTGTGCCGCACCTTTCATCTGTGATTTTAGAGCGTTGTTCAGATAGGCAACAGAACGCACCCCATGATATCAATGTTTCTGTTTCAGATATTGGTCTTACTATGTGTAATCATTATAATTCTTCTTCTCATCGTGGCCGCAATCATATTGGCAGTTTTCCTCTCGAACCACAAATAAAGTATGTCGATATCCGGTGCCAACGATCTTTGCGACGCAACAGTTTCCCTCTACCATATGAGACGACGCATCTATTCTCGCCGTTTTTCGTATCTTCTCAAGTGGCCTTCTCTTTGTTTGTTTTTTGTAGATAATTACTTGCTACTTATGACACATAAATCACTTATCTTGTGGATATCTTGCATTTGCAGAGGTTTCGAGGTCACGGGAAGCGTTTTTGACGAATTTTCTCATGCGTTTTTAATGTACATTTGTTGACTAAAACACCTACCAAGCTGTTACAACCCGATCAGTCTGCAAACCGAGGACGCTCCACGTCTGCAAATTAGAAATTTTGTAGGCGTAACTGAAATTTATACGGGATGGACTAGTGCGTATGTGCTGGAACACTCAAATATATTTTAGCAAATACTTTGTTACATGGTTATTGTTGATCTGTATTAAACTTTTACTCTTTTGATATGTCAGTATCTTAAACAAGCACGGCAATCTATATCATTATTGTAAGGAACACTTTTAATTCTTGCTTTTGGTAATGAGTGCAGCCGATTTCATCTGCAATAAATATGACAAGTTGACACCTCCCGTACCCCCTGCGTATCCGCCGGTGCGTGTCTGCATGAGGCAGCTAAATTTTGTCTGCTATTTATTTCAATACACTCATGATGCACTCTGGATGAATACATAAAGAAATCGTGGAACAAAAGGAAAAACTCAATTACTGGAAGTCAAATATGATATGACAGGAACCGGGAAAGGCGAAGAGCCCTAGACCCACTACTCAGACAGTCGACGGCATACCTCCGGAGAACAAAACGGGTAGCCGCCGGGGTCTCCCCCCGCGGAGGTTTGATACTCGTTCTCCGGGTTCTTCCCATATCTGAGCTCCGGAAGTCCTCCCGGCATACTGCAATTATCCCTAATCAAGCTAAAAGCCCTATTTTAGCCCCTTAACCCCACCCAAATTATCCCTAGATACCCAAACCCCACTCTAAACTACTTCTTATCGAAAGCGAACACTACTAGACATAAAACTATTTATTTGTACCAGTAAAGTACGAAATTACGATACAGTTCCGTAAGATAACATAATTTCTAAAGAAAAAACAATTTAGGATTTCCAGAACCTATGAACTTTGCACTTTGCAAGAACTGATTTCAAAAATGTGAGATGTTAGATGATTGCAAATGAATTGACATTACCTATTTCGATAATTGACCAAATTTCACATCAGAAACAATGTGAACATAACGATATTGCAAACACTAACACAGTTAGGAAATTAACAACTAGAACTAAACTATGCTGCTTAGAGTGAGATACGAGAGGCGACAAAGCTGGCTACATTTACCTCTGTAGACCATGGAAACCATGTGCAATTTCCTTATAAATCATCTCATAGGCTGCATCAACAACAAACGCTTCCCTTTGGGTATCGGAGCAAACACAGCAAGAGCGAAAAGCTTAGAAAAAAAGTATATGACTACATGGCAATCATAACATTGGCTTACCACGTCTGCCCAGTCACAGCTAAAAAGTTGTAAGTCTTTAAGAATTGCTTCAGATAGCACGAACGCAACGGTCGTGTTGAGCTGTGCCAGATCAAGCAGTTCGTAGCAAAAGTCTTGAAAGGAAAAATCAGGTGATTTTTGAGCAACCGGGAGATTGCGCCTCCCACTTTAACGCGCTCCTGTTACGTCCACCGACATCATGGGCTTAGAGAAGAGAAGACTACAAGCAATTGAGAAAAACGCGACAGGACACAAAGTTTTGGTGAGAAAAATTACCACAGAGTTTGTGGTACAGCAGACAAAAATTTGAGCGATTTTCTTTCTTTGTTAGTAGCAGCGGCTAGTCAGATAATCGCCGGGGGCAGGCGGTCCGCAAACTCGCGCTTTTCTGCAAGCGGTCAGCAGAATTTTGGGGCGTGGCCAAACCTTCAGCGAGCGGTACTTCCTTTACTGTCTAATATTCTGCCAGCGGGCAGCAACACGGAATTTTCTACAGGCGCTCGTCAGATAATCTCTTTCAGCAAAAGCTGGCCGAACTTTCAGCAGGCGCTCGGACCCTTTCTACGCAATTTCGGGCGTACGCCGAGAAAAGATGAGACTCTATGTGGCAGAGGTGTCACCATTGGTTTAATTACTCAAGTTTGAGGTACTTTCTCTCAGCGGAAAGTACCTGAGGGCTGCGCGGTTCTCAACAAAGGACCGTTCGGCCCCCGAAAATTTTGCATATTCTCGCGGAAAGTCCGAGCGGAAAGTATCACTGCGCCGCAGCTAATCTGTAAGAAAACCGCGATTGTTCTCCAAGCATTCGTCTAAATTTCGCTAAAATTCTTTCAGATATCTGCAAGCGGACCGCAAGAAATCAGCGAACTATTTTTCCGGTGCCCGCCAGGGCCCGGCACGAGTCGGTTTCTAGGCTTTTCGAAAACGAAGTCCCCCCTGACTTTCGGAAATTCTACGAAGTCTCCTTTGACCCTTGCTGTACCCCCCCCCCCCTCCTCGCCCTCCGACTATCAGTTGTTCAAAAACCGGAGTGGCCTGTCCTTTACAAACAATGAAAAAGCACCTCCTAAAATTTGGAAAACTCAGCATTTTTCAAGTTAAGTGTTTTCGAAAAGTCCAAATAATACAGTCGCTTCATTTCATATGATCATGTGTGCCATTGCACACACAGTCCACTTTGGCGTCCTCATCCTGGATTTGCAATCGCAAAAACGTAAGAGACTTACCGATTATTATCGATTACATCAATTTGAGGTGACTAGTAACTAAAAAGGAAAGAAAATGCAAAGAACACCTTGGAAACACTTACCTGAAGGCTTGATTCTCCCACGAATCCAGGATGGGGACGCCAAAGGTGAACTGCGTGTGCAATGACACACATGATCATATGAAATGAAGCGACTGTAGCTACACTTTAAGAATCACAGATTTCTTTACTTGAAATCAACACGAACTTTCCAAGAAATAAAATCGTTGATCACCAAGGATGAAAAAAGCAGTACCAAGCAGCTTGAAAAATGCAATCAGCTTTCTTGATCAGTTTCGATCGTTAGTTTTTCTACTATCTGAAGCGCTGCTGAAAAAAGGTACATTTTCTTCTAGTGACGTCGAACTGACCATGTTTAGCAAATGAATATATATATATATGCTTAAATTGGGACAATGTTGTTCCAATAAGAATTAAGACATTAGTAAAGAGTCAGAATCATTCTTGTTGGAGAAATATTGTCATAATTCAAGCACATTAATTTGCTAAGCATAGTTAGTTCGACATCACTAGAGCGCATTCCAAGAGAAGGCAACTAGCATTTACAACATGGTTATAAAGAAAGCTGAGGACTCTATAGGAGATACACAAATTCGATAACACAATGGAACAATAAAAAATCAAAGAAAAGAAGTCAGAAACTGGATAGAACGATGAATTCAACTCGCACCATATTCATTCATATTATCACACAGCAAAGGTTCCAATTCATTTCTGCCACGTCTAGGTGCCTAGATGTCCAGATGCGTTTTCAACTCGCCGAACTCCAGCATTCTGAAAAGGAGTGATGCCGCAAGGTTCTTTGTCGCCTGTCTGCTAAAATACAGGCAATCACCCAAGACAAACCTAGGAAACAAGAAACCAATTAAAAAGAACATGAAATTATATAGAAAACCGGGAATTCATGAATACTACATGGAAAGATTCAAGTAGGAAGCTAACAACATGACTGACCATATCTGTTTCCACGACAGCGTCCCAGATATAAACTGGTCACTCCTTTGCTTGTATATTCAACCTTCACAATCTGGATGCCAAATATTGTCCAGTAGTGCCGCATCATCACATGGAATTTCTAACTTCCTCATGCGTACTGAATCGAATATTTGGGCGAGTAATGCAGTGTTGACAGAGCTAGCATCAAGCAGCTCCTAAAGCAAGAAAATGGATGCAGTTTGAAAAAACGTATTACCTTATTCACCATTTGGTAATGTTCGATGTGGGCAGACCCTTCACATTCGGATTATGCAACGAAGTAAAGCATGATACATGAATAAACATTGTGAAACACGTATCCGCTGTATCGAACATTCCTAAAAATGTATGATCGAAGTCTACCTAATCGGATTCCCCCTCAAAACCGCACATTTAACCGACTAGAGTACAAGTGAGAGAAAAAAACAGAGCCCAGGGTTCATCGCACTATCACTGATGAGAAAAACATCATTAGAGAATTCAAGTGGAAAAAATCAACTAAAGCAGCACAGAGGGGGAAAAAAAGAATGGAGCATTTCCAAAGACTAAAAAACGCACCTTCATTAGTCGCTACGTACTGCTGTGCAAATCATTCCATTATCCGATCAGTTTTCCGTGATCCATACGGCAATCGAAACGATTACAAAAATACTCTGAAACGATGTTATAAACAGAGGCGTTAAGAAGTCTGCAAACATATGAATACTAGCACAAAAGATCTGCATCTGCGCTCATCGCTCTCAATTATGTGAAAATAAACAAGTTGAGAGGGATTAACTATGAACAATATAAAAATGTTTTGGTGCATCAACTTCTGACAGCTCAGAAGAATCTTTCTTCCCAGTGGATTCAAAAGTTCATTGGCTGAATGCAAATCCCACCAACAAGTAAAGAACTAGGCTTGTCTATACAACAAGAAAACAAAAAAGATGAAAGAAAGGATGAAAAAAACATCAAAATTTTGGAACAAAGCTCGAACTGGCAGTAGGAATCCAAAGGGAGAAGAGCGAAAAAGTTGGCGGTGGAGCGCGATATCTAATATGGCGATTTTCGAAAAAAAAAGGAGGATGAAAAAAGACGGATAGGGGGTGATATGAAAATGTTCGTATGCTCAGGGATAGATTTTTGACCGGGGCATCCGTCCATGCTAAAAAGATCCAAAACTTATGTGAATTGACGGAAATATATGCTCCAGACGATCTCAGATCGTCTGGTGGCCGTCTGGAGACGATCTAATTTTGGAAAAGGTATTTCTTCACATAAGTTTTCAAATCTTTTTACATAGTTCTTCCACAAATAGTTTTCTATGCATACAGTTCAATTTTGGTGTCATATGCTTCTGTGTGCGCTGTAAACAAGCAATTTGTTTATTTTAGCCCTACTTTCAAATCGCGCGCACTTTTCACCATACACGATAGAGCATGTCAATCGTGTGGTAACCTGTCCGAAAAGCTTGTGTTCGACTAGATGGCGAATATTCTTGGTGCTCGGCCCCTACTCTTTGAAAACGATATCTCCTTTGCTTTTCGCTTCAAAAACGAAGTCCAGCCTGCTTCTAGACGATCTGTGCCGGGCCCTGGTGCCCGCCCGCCCTTAAATCGCATCGCCGCCTGCCCCCAGCGATTATCTGATAGGTGCCAGTCCTATCCTGTTCAACAGGTTCATTCGGTTCACCACCTCTGCTGTTGGACAGTGTAGTGATTTGACCTATGAAACCGAACAACCGATTGAAGCGGATAAGTCTGGCACCTGCTTTAGTGACATCGGACGAGCGCGGCGCAATGGCCGTACGCACGTCCGACTCTCGCGATCCAGGCCCCTATACTTTGAGAACAGCAGTGATAATGGCTTTTTTTCCAAATGTAGGGTATTTTCCCACAAAGGAAAGAGATTTCAGAAAATGAGAGAGAGGCAGTGGCGTACCCAAAATTTCCGTTCGGGAGGGGGGGGGGGGGAGGAATTTCTCTGATGGACGATTCAGCTACGCACTTCGAAAATTTTTTTGGTATGCTTCCTAAAATTTTCGCGGGCGCCCCCCAAAAAACATTTTTGTGAGGCTAAAATGAATTTTTAAAAATTTTTTATTTCAGTTTAATTGATCACAAGTTTAAACAAGTCACTTGCACATTTTTATAACTCAACTAGCTGGCTTACCCGGCTCCGCCGTATCCGGACCAAACTTGGCACACATACACTTCGGGCCCCGGCGGGTGTCACAGTCCACTTTTCGTTATCGATCGATGTCGATTTTACCAATTTTTATCGATTTTTTTGCAGAGTTCACCTACAGGGCTAGGAGTTGGCACAGGGGGGGGGGGGAAGTGAGCATGGGGATTCCGAATACAATATTAGTTTTCAGAATTATCGATTACTTTTATTAATTTTATCGATTTTTTGTAAATTTTGACATGCGAGGCTGGGGGTGGGGGTGATCAGCATGCTCGATTACCCCCCTGTGCTTTTATTGATTGGGGGTGATCAGCATGCTCGATTACCCCCCTGTGCCAACTCCCAGCCCCGTAGCTCAAACTTTGCAAAAAAATCGATAAAATCGATAAAAGTAATCGATAATCCTGAAAACCAATATTGTATTCGGAATCTCCATGCTCGATTATCCCCCTGTGCCAACTCCCAGCCCCGTAGGTGAACTCAGCAAAAAAATCGATAAAATCGATATCGATCGATGACGAAAAGTAGCCTATGACACCCGCCGGGGCCCGTAGTGTATGTGTGCCAAGTTTGGTCCGGATCGGTTCAGAAATGGAATTTTCTATTCGGAACATACGTACAGACAGACATACAGACAGACAGACAGACAGACAGGCAGACAGACATACAGACAGACAAACAGACTTCAGCTTTATATATAAGATTTCGCCCCCACTCTCGGGGGAGGGGGAGTGGGGCGCCCCTCACCCTCGATACGCCATTATCGTGGCAGGATCTGTCTGTTCTCTCCTTATTCTCTCTCGCTCTCCAACAATGCTTTACACCTAGCGCGATCTCCTAGCGGTACGGAGGAAATCGTTTTGGCGTGATTCCGACTGAGGCAGAATATATATGCCCTCCTCCCCCCTTCATTATATTCTCCTTCATTATATTTACATGATTAAGAGAAGGGGAAGGGAAGCCGCTGGTCACCCGGTTAGGCACAGCTTATCTGGAGTTGCTGGGCACCGCCCAGTTGGCGTGGAGAGTGTCGGACCATCTCTTAAGGCCGCATGCATTAACATCCCCGACTGGGAGGGGATCGCAGCTTTAGGAGAAAGCTTCATATCCTGAAGCTCCAGATATCTATATTTCACGCTGTCTACCTATCCGTATGTACTCCCACCATCCTTCACTATGAAAATCTTGAACGGGAGCAAGCTGTACAAGCAGCATTTTCCAGCTTTTTGTTTGATATCCTTATGATCCCTTGCTGCCGACCGTCTTTTTTTAAAGTTATTTTTCTTTTTTCGAAGTCAATGTAAACATTTTAAAGGTGCCTATTTATCTAACCCAAAAGTACTAATCATCTTTTTGGTCGAAAAAATCGATATTCCGAAAACTCATTTGTTCTTATCAGCAACATGCCTAGCACTGTTGGGTTAGGTAATCAGTATAACTCTGGAAGGTTTTCGTTAACTTTGAAGGAAGAAAAATGACTTTGAATAAAAGACGTTCGTCTGCGGGGGATCATTAGGGGGGTCATACAAAAAGCTGGAAAATGCGGCTTGTACAGCTTCTTGCTCCCGTTCAAGATGTACATAGTGAAGGATGGTGGGAGTACATATGGATGGGTAGACAGCGTGGAATCCAGATATCTGAAGCTTCAGGATATGAAGCTTTCTCTTGAAGCTGCGATCCTCTCCCTGGTGGGGATGTTAATGCACGCGGCCCTTAGTCTGCGTCTCGACATGTCCAATTCTTGGTAAAGCTCGTTCCGAGCTTTCATCTTTGACCATGGCTTAAGAGTAGAAAATCGTCATTAAAGCTGCCCATGTACCATTTGCTTCGTCGTAGAGGGCAGGAGTTTATGCTGTTTGCCATCATGGTCTTCACTACTGCCATATACCACTTGTTTTGTGGATGGTGCGATTGAGTGCAGGAAGGTGCTGCTGATACCGTTATCGTCACCGAGGTTGCCCATTTGCCATCTGTTGCTGCTGCTTTGCTTGAGGGCAGCGTAGTGTTGTTGATCTCTTCGTGGCTTAGTTGCTGGATTGCTCTTCATAAGTGGACAAGGGGAAAAGGCTCATAGGAAAGGAGCGGCTTTCGCACGCCCTGTCAAAAGAAGAGCTCGTCTCGAGCTGAAAGCAAAATAAGCTCGGAAGTCGGATAAAGTGGTGCACGGGTAATGATTCCGCAGTTGAGACGGAAGGATTCGATAATGATGATATCAATGCATCGTGGATGGGTGGGCTTAGTTCGAGCTGGAACGAGTTATGCAACGTTTGGGATGAGGATAGAAAACATGGTAGAAGTGCGTGGAGCGGCATAGCATACCAAGTGGGGTTGGGATATGTGTGAAAGTTTTGGTGTGTGGCGATGGGGTCATCGTGAAAATTGAAGAAATACATATGCATGAAAAAAAAACAGGCAATCAATTCAAATGCAAATCAAAATTGCTAAAAGAATGTTCAAAATTTTGAGGTTTTGAAGATTCGTCGTTACAGTATTAAGTAAGATTATGATGACAACCAAAAGAGATTTCTTTCAGTACGGAAACTAACATGTGGGCAACTCAAGAGGAAACACTTCCCTAAAGTTGCCCACAAGGGCGTGTTGAATTTGGATGACTGAAAGGCTTCTCCGAGCCGCCCATCGAAGAAGTCTTTCTTGGTATAGTGCGAAGCCTGCGGCAAACTTACCCTTTACCAGTAGTCGCTGCAACGATGAGATTATTCAAGAATCATAGGTTTGCTACTATTAATGGTTGTTTCTAACTTTCTCAGATGCTCTGAACATCTGAGTGTAGACTGAAACTCGAATTCGACTAAAAAATCTTATGTAGTACAATGTGAACACACTTGAAATGGGGACGTTGACGACATATAGACAAGAGTTTGTTCTCAAGCTTGTTGAATAAATTTGCCTATAGAAAATCTGAACATTTGGAGAGAAAAAAGATCTCAAAAATTATTCTTTGCTTTCTCGGATTTTTTTGTTTTGATGCCAATGCTCGGTTACAGCGTATACATAACGATGTGACTAAGAATTTTGATTGTAAGTCCACTATGCAAAATAGATGCACACTGAGGTAATGACCTATCATCTTTTGGGGTGAGGGAACTTACATACACAATAAGGTTGCCGCCGCCTAGTTAACGGAGTTCATGAGAGGTCATGAACTGGCAGCAACGCTAATTTGCACTCAATTTGCACCGAAGATGAGCTGGTTCTGCTCACGGTAACTCCGTCATCATCCTGCAGCCTATGAAACCGGAATGTCTTTTAAATTTGAATCAAAAGTTCAGTAGTTAAATCAGTCCAATTAGGGCAATATGGTAATCGTTTTGCTTGAAACCTAAGATGTTTTTCTTTTTTGAATTGAAACTTGCTTTCACAAACAAAAATTTCAAAAATTCTATGTAAGGGTTTTCTGACATGCTGTTTCCCAAAAAGCTGATGGTTTTGCTTGAAACCTCAGAATTTTTCTATTTTTAAACTCTTTTTCGGAAATTTCACTGCAAATTTGATAAACCAGGAAAACAAGCGGAAAAATCTGCCATGTTTAAGAAAATAAAATGGAAACTTTTGGAAACAGCATGTCAAAAAACCCTAATTGTGAAATTTGCCAAATTTACAGAGAATTTGTGGAAAATAAACAAAATTTCGAAGGAAAAAATATTCAAAGTATTGAGCGAAACCACTAGCTTTTTAGGAAAGAGCATGTCAGAAAACCGTGATTGCGAAATTTTCCAAATTTACAGAGAATTTTTGGAAAATAAACAAAATTTCGAAGGAAAAAATATTCAAAGTTTTGAGCGAAACCACCAGCTTTTCAGGAAACAGCATGTCAGAAAACCCCTACTAGAACTTTTGAAATTTTTATTTGTGAATACAAGTTTTAATTCAAAAAAGAAAAAAATCCTAGGTTCAAGCAAAAGGATCAACATAATCGGCATCAGCGTGTTAGAATACCCCTAAATACTAGTTTTTGCCCTAATTGGACTGATTTTATTATTTAGATGAAGTGATAATGGGAAAAGATCCTGGAGTGGTCGCTGGAGGTGTTGGGCAGTTTAGCGCTGCTCGTCGTCCTCGCCATTTCCTCCTTTTCCACACTGTATCGATGGTAGATGATCCATTGATGACCATAACCTTGATAGACGGCGTGCTTGCGTGATGTGTGTACACATGATGTCTTCTCTCCGGTGTATTCGTCATCCTTATCTTGGCTTCATTATTTGTGAACCGCTGCGGTAGCCACTCCATCAGATATTGGGCGCGAACATTGGAGTTCGTCGTGGAGCGTATTGTGGCCAACCAACGTTGTCTGTCTGCTCGAGCTTCAGCGAGAATGGAGGCAGTGACTGTTTGCCTTGTGAAGCTGGATTGTCGGCTGGATGAAGAACATGGTTATAGTTTTGTTCGCAACGGAATCGTTCTCTTTTGGAGTGTTCCTTCCTCCTGCTTTGCCGATAATGGCTTGTCGCCCGTTTGTGTGTTCGTACTGTTGAGATAAGAGTACGATTTGGGTTTCTTCTATCTCTCGTTGTGTTGTGGAAATGTTGGGCGGTTGTTCCTGGGTGTTTCCTTCAGCGTTGATATGCAGCCGAATGTGCCAACAAAACTTGATGTAGTGATAGTGGCGCTCGTCCCTGATATAACGTATCCAAAGATGGTTGGAGTCAAAATGAGGCCCGAAGGAAGCTTATGCACTCTGTCGTTGTGGAGAGTAACATGGTTTAGGAGGTCTTGTCCTATGATCAGATCGGATGAGACGCTTTTCGAGGAGAGCGTATCTTGAGCGATTATCAGCTCTTGTTAGAGATGAAACGCAAGTCTGCTTCCTTGAGACTTGCCGTCTGCATGTCGGTAGTCAGCTTCTGCTTAGTATGCACTGACAAGTTCTTGAGCTTCTCGGAGCTGTAAAGACTTTTCAAGGTGATTTGTACTTTTTGTACTTCAGATGAGTTGAATTGCTCTTGTTGTTCGCCCATTCCAGATGTAGTAAACGAAGTAGTACGAAGGACTGGAAGCTTGAGTTCTTCACAGAGTCCTGATTTGTTGAAGCTTCGTTGTGCACCGGAGTCAAGTAGTATCGTTACCGGCTGGTAATCCCACTCTGCCTCGTTGAATATGAGTGTTGAAACAATTTGAAGAATGCATTGATCTTGTGCAAGTGGAAGCGCTTCGAGATTGTAGACTTCTTGTCGTGAGCCTTGTACGACGTGCGTATTACTCTTCTCATGACGATCCTGATTGATGTGACGTGATGACCAAGGAGCAGGTGAATGTTGATCAAGTGCAGGGTCTCGGGATTGCGTCGAAAATCCTCTGCGTTTTCCTGCTTCTAACAAGCAAAGAGATCCATGGTGTGATCCTTTGCATTTGGGGCACACACCGAAACTCGTGCAAGCGTTCGAGTTGTGATCGCTTGCAAAACATCTCCAACACACTCCTTGATTTGTTGCTTCAAGTCGTCGGGCTTCTGGTGTGGTGTACCTCTGACAGGTGTGAGGAGAATGTGGTTGTCCACATAAACACAAACGTTTTGGTTTCGAAAAGTGTTCTTCTCTATCGCATCTGGTAGTCCTTTCATTTTCTTGGTTGTTCGGGTGGTAATTGGTTGGAAAGAGAGTTTCCGTTGTTAGCAAGATTGTCTCTTGCAGTGAAATGATGCTGTCGATGGTGTTCAGGATTTCGCTAACATCAAATGAATCATCTTGTACCGCTTCTTTCTGGATGGCGGTCGTACAGATGGATTCGGGAAATTTGGAAAAGATTATTCGACGCTAAAGTCTGTCTGTGTTCATCTTTGCTCCCGTTTGCTCCAGGTGAATGATCCTTGAGTTGATTGCTTCGAAAGTGTCTCGGCAACTTCTCGGATCTTCTGAGGCCCTGGGCAGTTTTTCGATCTCGTTTATAAGTATATCTGCCATGTTGGCAGAGCGATCGAAATGTTTCTTCAAGATATCTATCGCTGTTTGATATCTGTCTCCGATGACGGGAATGCAGCTGAGAGTGGTTGCTGCTTTTCCCTTTAACGCTTGTTTTAGAAACAGGAATTTGTGTGTATCCGATAGTTCCTCGTCAGTGTGGATGAGAGATTCGAAGAGGGTCCAGAAGCTATTGAATTCTCGGAAATTGCCTGAGAACGGAGGGATTTCCAGCAGAGGTTTCCGAATTTTGATCTGCCTTTTATTACGTTCTGGAATCCAAGCTTGTCCTTTATCACTACTTGGTTGACTCGGTATGCTCGGAGCATCGCAGTGCAGTAGTGCGTCTTGTTCTTTCAGTTCATGCTGCCTGAACTCTATCCTTGTCCGCCACTGCACTACAATCACTTCCAGGTCAAGTGACTCCATCTCTAGGTGCTTGCTGAGCTCCATCATCAGTTTGTCTCTTTCTTTTTCCTCATTCCGTGCGCTGATGTACTCGATCGCGGAGTTGATCTGCGTCTCTTGAAGTTCACTGCGTTGTGTAGAGAGTTGAGAAGATTGGTTATCAGTCTCGTTTTCTCTTTTATGTACTGTTCACATTCTTCTTTCAGTGTGGGGAATGTGAAGGGGACATCAATATTTTCGATTTGTGACTCGTGGGATTTCATGAGTTTGCAGGCGTTGTTAATCGTGATCTTGAAAAGCTGGAGCGATGCCATTTTCTTTTCTGCTGCACGGGGTAGAATCGTGCGCTGGTGTGGTAATTCCAAGCGTTCCAATTTGGAAGTGTGTATCCTTTTTTTGTTGATTGCTTTGGCTTGAGGGCGACAGCAGGGCTGGCCTCGATACGATACGATAGCTGTCCTTACTGGTTGCAAGGAAGCTTTCTAGTGAGCTGGCAATTGAGTGCCGAGCGTCTGCTAGCTGTCAGCAAGCGCGCCTGGTTGGCTTGTGCGCTGTACTGGACGGTAAGGCGTTGGAACCTGTCCCGTGAATGTAACGATCCAAAGCTCAAGATCGGTGAACCGACTGTGAATGAGCTTGGAAAGCTGAGGTTTCTTTGCTAACTGTGGTGAACCAGTCAGTTAGCTAGAAAAACCTCTTTGCTAGGCTATGGATTTGACCTGATAGCTTCGCAAGATGACTCTTGTTTGTGAAAGTGGTGAACCAACAATCACAGAGTTCTCTTTTGACTTTAGGACAGCCAAAAGTTCGAGGATTTCTGGTGCTAACTGTGGTGAACCAGTCAGTTAGCTAGAAAAACCTCTTTGCTAGACTATGGATATGACCTGATAGCTTCGCAAGATGACTCTTGTTTGTGAAAGTGGTGAACCAACAATCACAAAGTCCTTTTTTGACTTTAGGAAAGCCAAAAGTTCGAGGATTTCTGTTGCTAACTGTGGTGAACCAGTCAGTTAGCTAGAAAAGTGAAAGTGGTGAACCAACAATCACAGAGTCCTTTTTTGACTTTAGGAAAGCCAAAATCGAGGATTTCTGTTGCTAACTGTGGTGAACCAGTCAGTTAGTTAGAAAACCTCTGCTAAGCTATGGATATGACCTGATAGCTTAGAAAGACTCGTATTAGTGAAAGTGGTGAACCAACAATCACTAGAGTCGAATATTGGCTAATTAGTAGCCGAGAGTGCGAGGGGTCTGTCGCTAACTGTAGTGAACCAGTCAGTTAGCTAGAAACCTCTACTAAGTTGTGGATAGGACCTGACAACTTAGTAAGACTCTTGATCGTGATAGTGGTGGACCAGCAATCACGAGAGTCGAATATCGGCTATAGTAGAGCCTGCCACGCGGGTCTTAGGCCTTGATTTCTCGTGTCCTTAGAAGGATTCGCCGAGGAAATGCAAGGAAAATCACTGGCCGATGCACCAATTTGGTGGGTACCAAGTGATTAGGGAGTAGACGAGTTGTGGAATAAGGTTTATTCGCACGGGCGTAGATTATTCGAGAAGAGGTAGAGGTGTCCCGGTGCGGACCGGGGAGCAACCTCTAATACATTCGGAGGCTCCTTATATACGAAGGAAGGCGGAGCTGAACCGAGTACAGGGTGCAATGTACAGGAGCTAATGCTTGAAAGGAGATGCCGCCGATTGGCTACACTCCTGGCGCACGGGTACCACTCACTCTTCAGTGATTAGATACTCAGGAGTGAGTAGTTCACAATTTAGCCTACGGGGATTCCGTAGGCTACCTATTGATGATACAGAAATCATCAACAGTACTGAACTTTGAATTCAAATTTCAAAGAAATTCCGGTTTCATAGGCTGCAGGATGATGACGGAGTTACCGTGAGCAGAGTCAGCTCATCTTCGGTGCAAACTGAGTGCAATTAGCGTTGCTGCCAGTTCATGACCTCTCATGAACCCGTTAACTAGGCGGCGGCAACCTTATTGTGTATGTAAGTTCCCTTCCCCCATCTTTCGCTCAATGTAGGCTTAACATGAGGCCCTATCAAGCATAATGAGTATTCGTAATTATGTCAAATAGCTCCTGTGGACCAATTCAGCTAATTCTGAGGTCTTCAAATATTGGCCAGCCAAGTAAAATGGTCATCTTCGAACATGATCAATTTCGCTTTGAAGGGGAGTTAGCTATCTCTTTTCACTCAATACAAAGACTGCTCCTTCTAAGAACATGAGAAATTCCACCAGGAACAGCCGATACCCCTTTTTCTCATTTTCGCTTTCGGTGGTTGTGCTTTCAGCAGCCAAACTCATACTAAAAAAGAAGAATTAAGCTCAATATCACTCCTGTGAAAACTAAGCGATCTGATTGTGAGCTATCAAATATATACGTTTTTGCTACCATCGCTTCCGATATACACAGTAGCGCAGATTCAGCACACAATACTTGCCTTAAACACAGAAGTGGAAAAGTGACCATGGTTGATGTTTCTGATGTGAAAAGAAGAATGTTTAGAAGAAGGTAGAGAAGGTCTTGACGATATAAAAACCCAAACCTACGAGTGTTTGGGGGTAATTCATTGGGGTGCATAACTCCAAAAAAGTGTGGCATCCGCACCATTTTAGGGTTGTGCCATGCCCCATTAGAGAAACCGTCCACTCAGATTTTTGACTTCCACATTTTGATCGTTCCAGAGCCTTCTCATGGACCTGGTTCCGAATATGAAGTCAGGAATCCGCGAAAACCCCTACATCCCCGTTTCGGAGAACCCGCAGACCGAATTTTCGAAATGGTGTTTGGCTGGGCGCGCACGATAGGTGGGCGTGGATGGAGAGGGCGGTGCCGTCTGAAGGTCTCATACATCTTCGTTACTCCGGAGCGATTTTCTCGCTTACGAAGCGACATTTTGCGCTGAGATCTGGGCACAGGCTTGATAGGGGCCCTAATATCATATGCTGCCAGAATTCAGGACCCTCCACTTAGGGTGGATGGTGCCTTTAACTTGCCTCAAAAGAATAGCGAATATAGAAAAAGATCGATAGCCTAAAACACGTAGTCGCCGCAGTAATCTGTGCCTGATTCGTTTTCTTATTCTGAACAACAGTCGCTGAAAGCACCACCTTTGAAAGCAAAAAAAAAATGCGACAAACGAGATTTTGGCTGGTTCCACTTAGGGTGCCTTCATACCGCGCCGGAAGCCGCCGCTGGCAGACCGTAGCAGCCGCCAGCAGCCGCTAGCAGCCTGTAGCAGCCGCCAGCAGCCGCTAGCAGCCCGTAGCAGCCGCCAGCAGCCCGTAGCAGCCGCCAGCAGCCCGTAGCCGCCGCTGGCCGCTTTCGTTATATAAGCAAAATTATCAGAATCTTATTACTTCGAGTGCTCCTGTCTACGGTTTTCATCTTCTACGCTTTTCTTTTGTTGCCGCTAGTACGCAGTTTGACCACATATCATATATGTGCCCATTGTTTTTCATTACCTTCTCGCCGTATGGTCATCCTGTTGAACCATAGTTGATAGAAGGTTCTTTCTGGTGTAACTCGCATTGACTTTGGATGCGTCCGGTTCCAGCAGGTGTGCAATTTGTTTTTTGAGTATGCTTTTGCTCCAATTTTTTCTTGGCTATCGGTGCATATGTAACTTGCATTCTACTATTTCGCAAGTTCGCCGGGATTCATTTGCCGGTTGAGTTTTTCTTGCTTTGATAATCGCTCACATCTTTTCAAATAAGACAGATTGCAAAAGAATGTGAGCGCGATAGGATACAATGTGCGGAACAGAACAAAACACAAATGAATTGTGGGAAGTTCTGCATATTAGCGATAATAAGAAGAAATAAGCGTTGAAAAGCGTAGGCAGGAGCACTTAAAGTAGTAAGATTTTGACGATTTTGCTCCCATAAAAAAGGCGGCCAGCGGCGGCTACGGGCTGCTACGGGCTGCTGGCGGCTGCTACGGGCTGCTAGCGGCTGCTGGCGGCTGCTGGCGGCTGCTACGGGCTGCTACGGGCTGCCAGCGGCGGCTGCCGGCGCGGTATGAAGGCACCCTTATTGGCAGTCATTTGAAGTGGGATTCTTCATGTGGGCAAAGAATGAGTAGTGCCTTGTATTGAGTGCAATACGAGGTATAGATCCATAAAATCGTGATGACGGCTTCGACTGCAATCTTTGCGCCCAAAGGGGCATAAAACACTCTAAGAAAAGGGCATCACCTCAACGCTCAGCTCAGTCACTTCCAGTGTCTAGATAC